AAATCATCTCTCGTCAATATCCGGCTTTTTATCGAGCTCAGCATACATTCTTTCCGGCGGTATTATAGAAAAGATCTACGACACGCACCTGGCTCAACACCTTACCGGCACTTCGGCCCACTCCAATACAGCAGTAGACGAGTGCCTGCTACGGCTAGACAGTGCGGTTTGGAACTTGGCATGTGGGCGCAGAGCCTCAGTGATATCGCCGTGACAGGATGGTCGTCGCCTATGCTTCTTTGTGGCTTGGGGACGTTCTGCATGAGGCTGCTCTCCTAGGAGAGCAGGTCCCCGAGTATTTGCTACCCGCGTTGCACGAGAGAGTTAGCTATGGGCCCACTGCACTGCAATTATATTTTCAGCAGAGGTGAGCAGGTGGCTCACTGTCCTCGTGGGCCGGGACGAGCCTTCTTGTGACTTTGAGATAAGAACCTGAAAAGTAAATTTGATTCTACTAAATCTGAACAACGGTACAGCAGGTACTAGGCAGTCAAAACTCTACATATGTCGCAGCTATACGGCTACTAATTACGAAGGGCTCTCGGCCAGCTTTGATGTTTGTTGATAGAATATCGTTCGTGTCGCTAAACTGACAGTCAACAAGTCGCATGCCCGATGTAGGAGAATAGCTGGGCAACCCTGCGTCGTGATGAATCTATGAATCGAGGACTGGAAATAAGGCGATGCGGCCGTCCGGGCTGATGACCTCTGACTCATTGACTTTGAGTGCCTATGGATTCAGCGCGGGATATAGACCATGCTGCGCGGCATGGATATATGGTTCGCCAAAGTCGTCCGCCCAGGCATGATATGTTCCCATTTCAGCTTCAGTGCCATGATAGAAGGCTCCCTGGAGGCAACCTCCTTTCACTGCAATCTATTCTCCCCTCGAGGCAGTCGTCTCCACCAGCAGTGTATTGAGATTCCAAGTTCTCTATTGTACACCCGCCACTTGTAGCTGCTGATGTTCGCTTAATGTGCCCAGAATCGGCAAATGGTGTTTCCTTGTGACACTGACAACAACAGGACTGAGATATGGAATTTCATTGAGTCCGCAAGTCGGTTGTCAACTTTGATGGAAGTCCACTAACAGCCAATGGCACGTGACCACTGGCGTTCTCGGAGCATCCCCACCGGCAAAACACCGGCGATCTTATCTCGGCTGGACCCTGCTGTTCGTAGTAGATGACACCTGTGAGCTACGGAACCACGGTAGCCAATGCGCGGCGCGATTGTCTAAGCAGCTTCGAGGTGGCCACACGAACATCGGCACCTCACCACCACAACTCCATTTTCCTCTGCATGTGAGCAAACGTTCAATCACGCGGCACGATGCGCCGTTTCAATCTAGTTTTGCTGGCAACAGCCCAACTGTGCGGGGCCCGTCACCCTGGCTTCAGCATCCACGATGACCTCGTGGCATATCCCCAGGTTCGTCCGATCCCTAGTTCAAGCCCAACAAAGGGAAGCTCTGGCAGTCAAACTGACAATGTGCGCGCGCAGTACGAGATAGTATTTTCGGAATCCTTCATACTAGAACACGAAGCGCAGGCCTTACTGGACCGCGCGAACCCGCATTCTACCTACTCGGCGGAGTTCTCGACAACCTCCGACGTCTCGCAGAACGTCCGGGAGGCCACTGACGCCGACAATGGTCGCTCGTCTGAGGCCCTTGAGCGATATGAGCTCATGAACACGGCTGCGGCAAAGTACCTCTGCTCGATACCCATTCTGGAGCCCCAAACCCCCGAGAACCACACGGCGACGGAGCTCGCGAAGCAGGAGGAGGCACGCGAGCTGGCAAAGGCTTCGGCCCACGGGTGGGAGCTGCTAGACGAGCTAGACGGCAACTGTCTGTACTTCATGTCCGGCTGGTGGAGCTACAGCTTCTGCTATAACCGCGAGATTGTCCAGTTCCACGCCCTCCCGACGGTCTCCAACGGGCAGCCGCCCGTCCGCGATCCCCACACGGCCGAGTACGTCCTTGGCAGGGTACAGAAGTCGCCCAGCCAGCGGCAGCAGACACAAGGCCAGGAGCAGCAACAAAAGCAGACGACAAAGTCAGGAAACCCCCCAGCCAACACGGATCTGCAAATCAAGGGTGACCAGCGATATCTCGTGCAGAAGATGGAAGGAGGCACTGTCTGCGACCTGACGGGCCGCGACCGGACGATCGAGGTGCAGTATCACTGTGTGCCGGGCATGAAGGGGGATCGCATAGGATGGATCAAGGAGGTCACAACGTGCGCCTACCTCATGGTTGTCCATACTCCGCGCCTGTGCCACGACGTCGCCTTCCTCCCGCCTAGGGCTACGAGCGCGAACCCAATCAGCTGCCAGCTCATCCTCCCCTCCGACGACCCCGCCGCGCAGGCTGATTGGCATCACCGGAAGACCTTGGAAGCTGAGGAATCCATGACCGGCAAACAGGAGAGTGCCGCGGCGACGGACGAAAAGGAGGCGGAGGAACTGTTGAAGCAGGCACAGCAAGACCCCAACGTGAGAGACAATGCTCAGAAGGGCGTCAACGTGGGCGGCGTCATCGTCGGCGCGCGTAACGTGCTCGGCGACGCGGACGAGGAGGGCAAGCCGCCGACCAAGCTCACGCCGCCGCGCAGCTACCTGCCCGGACGCGGCCACGGCCCGCTGGTTGAGATCATTGCCAGCGCCAAGAGCAAAGCCGAGGGCGGCGCGACGGAGATCCTCGACGAGGACGAGCTCAAGAAGCTGGACCTGAGCCCCGAGCTTGTCGAGGAGATGCGGGCTGAGCTGGAGCGCATTGCCGGCGACAAGGGGTGGAAGCTCGAGGTTGTCGAGCAGCCGGGCGTGCCCAGAGAGATCCAGGGCATTGTTGACCACGGCGCAGAGGGTGAGGACGGTGAGGAGGCGAAGGGGAAGAGGAAGAAGAAGAAGATTGTCGAGGGGGGCGAGGAGAAGAAGCAGCAGCAGCAGCAGCAGCAGAAGGACCAAAAGCAGGATCAACAGCAGGAGGGCAGCGAGGAGCAGTTCTTCAAGGAGGAGCTTTAGTGATGTGCCCTGATTTGATGGCCCAGGATCGGCGTTTGGGATGTTTTCTTGTGTATTGGTACACCGAATGATACGGAGGACCACACGTTTGCTCTCGTGCTCTCGAGAGTCTGTTCAACTACTTGCTGCTGTTTTCAAGAGCCTTTACTTACATTTGCGGTACTTTGGGAACGTTTTCGATTGTCTGCTGACACCAGTCTCTCCGGAAGCCACTCCTTGCTCGGCCTGCGGACTATTCGGGACCAAAATCGTATATGAATTTGCAACATGACGATAACAGATTGCTTCACCCCGAGATGGCTCAAGTTCAGAAGGAAGCCAAGGGCAAGACAGAGAGATCGTCTGAGCACGTGGCCGTGTCAGAGCAACTGCTGTTACACCCGAGCTTGGGGTCTCCATTCAGACAATTCCCTGCAAAGCCGTTGGCCGAAGCAACCAGCACCGCGTCCCGTCATCCAGAAAGGGGAATGCTTTGGACCAGTTCCGAATTGGCTAGGCTAGAACTAGGTTCACATTAGTTGGGCTGCAAAGAGTTCTCCAGGATCATGGTCTCGAGTTAGCTTCCTCGCATCGAGGGAACCCCACGAGGTATGGCTCTATCATTGTGTGCTCTGCGGCCAATGCCGTCTTATCTTGACTCTTGGTCGCGTGCGTGGAGAGGGAAATGAGCAGTCTAGTTCCATCTAGTTCCATCTTGTTCGCACTTGGTCACACGAAGTAGCCCTGCATAAGAAGATGCCTGTATTGAAGACCAAAAGTACGGATATGCGGTGATGAAAATGCATAGTGTCGAATGTGTACATCCACAATCGGTTTACACTCCAATCGGTGCGGGCCAACATTCTTGTCTCGCCTCAAGGGACGCCAAGACTTCTGCCTGTAGCCACTTCTTTGTGATTACTCAAACCCCCTATGTGGCTTACATGGCCACAAGTTTCTTCCATACCCACGACAGTACCTGAGTCGGTATGCACCCCCGCCAGACCTGGGTGTTTTCTCGGCGAGTCTTGTCCCACACCTGACATCCAGAGCTCTGAAGGCTACGGCATAGCGCCTGCCTCAACGCGATGATGGGTACGTGAGGTTTTCTGGCCCGGCCCAGGAAGGCACCTTCCGGCATCCCACTTGCCGGCCCGATTGGTGGCAACAGCTTGTTGTCTCCTTCCGTGTTGTGAGAAGAGTCCGTGTTGTGAGAAGGAGGCACTGCGCAGAGCACCTACCTTACCTTACTTGCCTTACATCTCAGAATGAGGCAGACACCGCACAGAATTCCGTCTCCTATCTGTTACCAGAACCACATGATAGTCGAGGCAGAATATCTGCGATCTGCACCCACTCCTCTGACTTTTTTCATCCTCATTCCCAATCTCGCCGAGGACCAAATTTCAATCATGATCCATTGTTGAGTCCCTTGGCGGGCAGGCGGTGCCGAGCGCCTTTCGAGTCTCTATCAATCGCAGCTTGACGCGATACGGCCCAGCAATGCAAGCAATTCTATGAGAGTTCGTGAGCGGTCGACCCTGAAGTCTTGGCTTCGAAATTTGCTTTCTGTTCTGGTTAGGCGTAGCCAAGCTGTCACGTCTTCAGCTTCTCCAGGATTGCGAAATGAGTTGGGGGATTCTAATCAGGGCATAACCGTTCTGCTGGGACCAGTTCTTCGGTATCATCAGTTCAGGGGCACAACCACCCTCTCGGAGTCACAGACCGGTCATTCAGAATCGGCACCTGCAAGGTGCAGCAAAGTGCGATCGGCATTTCCCCCCTGCGCCCCGTTGTGGTAGAATGGCAGACTGCCGACTTGACAACGTTTCTGGCTGCTGAACCTTCGTCAACTAGATTTGACTGAGCTACATTGTGGCTGCAAATCGTGGTCTTGACTTCTACTTACATCCCAGGTTCGGGCTAGTACCATATCCCGAAGCATTTTTCGGGCTTGTTGTATGTTTTGAAGCAAGTCCGGGACCGGAAAATTCGTTGGCAGGATGCTTACTACCGCCATGCGGCCACACATATTCTCTTCGACATCGATCCAGGTTCGAGGCTACCGCGAAGTCGTCCAAGCGTCCAGTTGTTCAACGTTCAACCTACAAATTTATCCACTCGACCCGAGGGCCTGGTACGCCCCTCGAAATGCAACCTCTGGGTTAGGAAATATACTGCAGACAGGGAGAGTGTCGATATGAGTGGAGGATACATTGGGCGGTAGCGCCCGTTGACAAAGTTCATGCTCCGATTGAGGTAGTCTTAGCGATATTGCCAGCTGGAAGAAGAGATTTCCGACTGCCCATCGCTCATGACAGCCTCAGCTGGGCAGCATTTTATAGACTTCTAACCACGTAGATAGGACGACAAGGCGTTAATCCTACGACCGACCCCTTCCAAGCAGAACCATTATGCCCTCGCCCGAGTCGGCTCGGGGAGATAGCGACAAACCCTGTGACGGCATACGTACGGTGACCGGCGTTTTCGGTCGGCCGGCCGCTTTGCTCGGTCTGAACCATGATTTCGCAAGACATGACCATCAAGCCACTTGAGGGTTTCTCATATTGGTTCAAGACGGTACAGGAGATTCCTGCCAACTCCGGTACCCACTCTTTTGCTCTCGACTCTGTCGCGACTCGCCACCGCTGGAAGAGAAACGCCAAACCCATCGCCCTGCTCTTCTCGGCCTCGCCAGGAGCACGCACCAGCAGACATGACTTTATTTGTCGACAAATCACCCAAAGTCAATTCTTTGCATCGCAAGGCGGATGAGGCCCGCGTGTGCCGTTCTTTTTGTTGTGAAGGACCCGATCAACCGCAGCTAACCGTCAACAGGTTGTCGATATTGCAGTCGCCGCACTCATCGGTGACTCCGGGACTCGATATGGGTTTCCAAGCAGACCCCAACTTTGTCGGAACGCTATGATACTAAGCTTTTGACAACACAGTCGTCCAAGAGTAATTGATAGTCTGGCTGGGCGACCCCTGCCTTGTCTTTACAGTTCGATGAGCCACCTCCGCATCATGCCAGGGGCCGTTGATATGGATGCCGCCGGCATCAGAGCAATTTCCCTGAATCGGATCGTTCTGGAATGTTCAGGACCCCGGAAATCCCCTCATTTGAGCACGTACAAGATTTCGACAGCTGCAAATCGACAGGCATTGAGTCGTATTGGAGGGGGACAGATCGGCGACACTATACCGTCTACCAACCGCCTCAACCGCGCAAATTGCATCGAGTCGCCGTGTATGCAAGGTAGACAACGATAATCAAGAAGCCTGGGAAGTTCCGCATTTGACTTGACATCTGATGCAACGCGAACGCGCGCCTGGTTGCGGACTCAAGCCTCCGGCGATGGCCACGTACGAAGAACATTCCATAGAAGCGGCATGATGCGGCAGCCCCAGACCAGAGTCAGGCCAGTTGTATCCGTACCATCAAGTGATTCAAAGGCCTCGGGGACAGATTGCCGGAACGAGGGCGAAACGTGGCATGGCGAGCAGAGTTTGGACACCCCAGGACAGAATTAAGCATCTTGAATCTCTCGAGCTTGAGTCGAGCTTGAGTCCCTGACGAGCACGACGCGGTTGCCCTGGGGGGCTCCCTGGCTGCGGTCACGAACAAAGCTCGCACATGTGGTCCATAACGGCGGGGGATGGTGCCTGCGGTTAGCTCCGCTCGACGGTCCTCAGTGGAGGATTTTTGATGGACCCTGGCATGAGCGGGCGGATGCCGGGCACGTCTCCAGGAGCCAGACAAATGGCTCCGTTCGCAGATGGGCCGGAATAGCGCCGCAGATTTGATTTTGATCCAAAATAGCTGCAGGTCCCTGGCAAACTTGGGACAGAAGAGCTCAGCTGAAGCCCCAAACGAGGGAAGGGGCACCACGGACTCGAACGTCTTGGACGACTTATTTGTTCCCTCGTTTCTTCTGGCCATTTGCCTTATTTTGAGCTGGTGCCGGCCGATGTGCAGCTCATCCAAAGTTGATTGGCCTCGACCTTTTTCCCCCGCACATCGTCTCTAAAGCCATCCGTCGATTGGGTCCACGACCATCTTCCACTCATTCGTCTTTCATCAGCTGACTCACAAGACAACCTTTCCTTGACAGCACGGAAACGGCAGCACCCTCCTTTTGCTCTTGGCCCCTCCTCTTTCCCCCATTCTCTCCGCGTCCCATTCGCCTCGAACTGTCGTTCCTTTTTTCCCCGCATTTGCACAGGCAAGCTGCAAGCCGCGCCGCACGCCGCACCCGCAACGAAAGACCAGACACTGGACGGCCAGACGAGACAAGATCAAAACAGGACAGACCCGGACAGCAGACGCAGGCAGCAGATCCCGACGGTCATCGAGCGCACGACATCGGACACGGACGGAGTGTGAAGCAACCAACACCTCACGCGCTAGCGACGACCAACAAGACGACCTCGACGCTATCCACCACCCAGCTACCGACACCTCGACTGATGAGGCGCCGACAGACGAGACGCTACGCTACGCTACCTACACTACCCTACGTGCCTCACCTCACAGCTAGACCACACCTTACCGACCCTACCTTACCTTAGCTTCCTACCCCCTTCCTCTTCCCTTGCCGGTGAGGGGCTGAGGCGGCCGAGAGTGGACTGGAACTGGCTTTTTGACCAGGGGGAGGCTGGGCTGCAGCGCTGTCCGAGTCGAGGCTTGTTGCTCCATTACAGAAAGGCTCTGCCTCTGCACTGCACTGCACTGCTTTTTCTGCTGGACTGCGACAAACCATCACTCCACCGCGAAATTCCTCGCTCAAACTCTTAACGGCCGGCACCCCTGTGACGAGAGTCCTGTCTCTGCCCTCTTCTTCTCTCGACTGTTCCCTCATTCTTATTGCGTCATGTTTTGAGTGATGGACGACACAGATACCGCGAGAAATGCTGCGAGCAGAGCGGGCTCTGCAGAAGTGAAGGCCGAATCACCAGGCTCGAACACCACCGCCGCCGCCGCCACGGTTAACACCAAAAGTCAGTACCACCACCAACAGTCAGCGCCGCCCAAGCGGACAGTATGCGATCACTGTCGACGGAGAAGTATGCTATTCCACATCCCTCAACACGTTATCGTCGTATCTTAATTTCTATCCCCTGCCGGCCGTCGCGTTCATGAACTTTCGTGCGATCCTCCCTCTTCCAAGCAGTCTGCCGCCCGGACAGTCCATTTGCCGGCTTCATGGTACCATCCCACCTTAGCCACTGTTGCTGCTGCTGCTGCTGTTGTTGTTGCTGTTGCACGTCATCACTGCTCACATCATGTCCGCAACTCAAGTCTCTTGCCACGTCTTTCATTATTCACGTCTTTTGCGATGGACCTACAAACTAACTAGCCGTAGGAATTCGCTGCGATGGCAAGTTCCCCTGTGAGCAATGCGTACACGCTTCACTCACCTGCAAGCGCGAACATGTCCCCAAGAAGAGGGGACCGAAGCGCGGCCATGGGCGGGTCATAAATGAGTTGCGCGCAAGGGAGTCGTCCCAAACAAAGCTGCAACGACCTCAAGTTCAAAAATCTTTCAATGCAGAAACTGCGCTCGAGAGTCCAACAGAGTATGTGCGGCGTCGGTTATCAGCAGCATGCCCACCGCTGAACCTAGACAGCGTCGACATTGGGATGAGCGGTAGCGACCTCGGCGAAGCGACATCTCAACATTCATCCAACGCGTCCGCAGCATCGACCCCGCCGAGCTTCTGGGCCGCCGTCACCTCGAATCCGGGACATGGCAATGTGCCGGAACCCGGAGGCATGTTCTCGAGCGACGAACTACGACCGAGAACGAGGAGCTACTTCCACATGATCCCCCAGCTGGTCGAGCTATACTACGAGCACATTTACCCCATCATGCCACTCATTTATATGCCGACCGTCCGCGAAACGATAAACCGACCCATGGCGCCCAGTGAAAAGAATCTCATCTACGCCCTGTGCGCGCTGACGTCGATGCACATGTCTGGTAAAAGCATCGGTGCACCTGGACCTACGTCCTGGGAAGTTGTCGGCCGCTTCTTCCTGGACGAGACCATTTCTACGAGGCAGACGTACGACTTCCTCGAGGATTTGTCCCTGTCCGCAGTGATTTCTTCGTTTTACCTGAGCACATCCTTCTTTGAGATCAACCAATCGCGCAAATCGTGGTACTACTTGCGGGAGGCGTTGACCAACGCGCAGGACCTCGGGCTGCAGGACGATTCGACGTACTATGGACTCAGTTGTGAGGAAACACTATGCCGACAAAGAGTGTTTTGGATCCTCTTCGTTACGGAAAGGTAAGTAACGAGTAGTCGCTGGGCCGATGTGAGGGGTAACGTGGCAGGCACAATTGAGGTACTAACACGTCTCGCGCTACTTAGGTCCTTTGCGATCCTCCGCAATAAACCGATTACATTCAAGAGAACGCCGTCGCTACCAACAACACGGCATCCTTACGAGGGACCAGACATTCATGCCGGCTTCCTTCAGCTCGTTTCATCCTACACTCCGCTGGACGAATCGTTCGTGACAGCGTGGAATGAGGGGTCCGATCCCCGCATCAGCGCAACAACGTTTTTGGCCCTGCAAAACCTTCTCTCCCTCCCTCCCGCGTTCCTTCGCCCACATGGGCGATCATCACCAACCCAGCCTCATGGGCAATTGCTGGGTTCCTACGGGGCAACATCAGCCTCGAGAGATGCCAACGCACCAGAGCCGACAGATATCCAAAAGGCAGACCTACTTATCACACAACAATGGCTTCGTCTTATTGTTTGGCAGTCATCTATGAGGCAGGGCCTTCTCAGTTGGACTGACCCGGCCGACTCGGGAGGTGGGGTGTCGTCAGGCAGCGGCGTCGGTGGCGGGAACAGCATGTGTTTCTCTTTTCCTCTAACAGTTGCGCGCGACACGGCTTCGATTCTATCGAGCTTACCCAGTAAGGCTGTTGAAGTACACGGGATGGGCATCATGGAGAAGATTTTTGAAATCGGAACATGGTGCGTTAATGTGTTGGGAGCGTGCGAGAGTGTTGGCTTCTCGACAACCATGGACTTCACATCAGGCGACATGGGCGTGCTGGGCAGCGGTCGTAAGGGGGCAAGTCTGGATCCGATTGAGTTCTTCGTGCGAACACTGAGCGCGAGCGACAACTCCCGAAAACAGTTCGCTGAGAAGCTGCTTACCGCTGCTGGCGAGAACCCAGGCAGTATGAGAACACAACTTAGCCCCGCCATGTCTGGGATGAGTTCAGCCGCCGCAGCAATGATTGCCGCGGGTCAGGCGCACCCCTTAATGGAACAAGGCTGGGGACAACAGCAACAAAGAGGCAGCGTTGTAGGCGAAGTGTTTGACGACAGCGAAGAGAACAGTGGCAATAACCAACAGCAACAACAACGACAACGACAACAGCAACAACAGCAACAACAACTAGATCTTGGCAGCAACTCAATGCAGCATCCTTCTGGTATACCAAATATGGGATTGGGAATCGACCTCGGTGCTGATCGCATGACCAGAGGCATGGGCGGGGTGGACCTGGACGCGAGCAGTGTTGATCTTATGAGCCCCCTCGGTCTGACCCGAAGCAACACCTCCGACATGGCGGCAATGGGCATGCCCGGCTTCGACACTGCTTGGAGCCCTAGTAGCGGTGGGACGGGGCCGCGAGAATACCCAGACCATAATACAGGACCTTACTCAAATTCCCGCGAAGAGACGCAAGGCTTTCCAGACATGGGAAGCGGTATATTAATGCACGAGCGGATGGCGACCGGTGCTGGCGGCCCTATCGGAGGACCTGTTGGTGGAGAAAACTCGGCGCTGAATCCGCAGCAGCAACAACAACACCAGCAAGGAGACGATGGCGGTTATGACGTTCGGAGACCTGGAGACAAGAACGGTGGATACCCAAACGGCGGCAGGGTCGGTCTGTGGTTAGGGACATGATGGGCCTATTACCACGCTGGTTGACGTTGGACAGACGGGTGGACGGTTCAGGCCTGGTTGGCCAAATGTACTCTTACTTGAACAATCTGGACTAGGGAAAGGGGGAGTAGTGGGAAAGGACGGGCTGAACTGGCAGCTTTTGCAAAATGGGAACTAGGGGTTCAACGCCGGCGAAGGTTTCAATCTCTTTGTTTTTGGGGGCGGTCCGGAGAAGGAAGGATTTCGAAGCAAGCATTTACACCTCGGACACCGCGATGATGCTCACGCGAGTGCTCCTGGGGATTTTGAATCTAGCGGCATTCTACGTGCGCAATGTATAACCGGCGACAATAAATGGAAAGGTCTAGGCTTCAACAATTTGCCTAATCACGCTTTTACTCCCCTCATCTATCTGCGCTTATTGACCGGTGCGCGACAGACTTGGCCTCGATCCGGCCGCAACATGAACGTCCTTATTGCGACGTCCCGGTTGCGGGTGCGTCCTGTGGAGGTGGGTGGTTTACGTGCTCTTCGTGCTCTTCATCGGATGAGGTTGGACCCTGATGTGATGCGGTACACACACATACCCCCCTTTTTTTTCCATCTTGCTACATCCCATCCCGTCCCAACTTTTTTTTCCCTTTTTGTTTGTCATCTGTTGTTACTTTTGTCTTCTTTGGGACTTTTGTTCTGCTTCTCATTTGAACGCACACACTATACAGGCCCGGGATCGAGACGGTGGCTGTAGCAGAGGAGAGTCGACGCAGTGCCGGAGGAGGCTACGGTTCATGATGAAGGAGGACGGATGGGGGGCTATTGCGTTTTTCCGTGGAGATGGCTTCGTTTGACAGATGGATAGATTGACAATCATGATTAATGATGCGGGTGCGGGTGCGGCGGCAGCGGCAGCGGCAGCGGCAGCGGTGGTGATTGCATTCGTCGGCATCACCGAAGCCCGCTGTAGATGGTATTTCAAGCGCAATCTTTGGGGAAAGGGGTTATGTATGCGACCAAAGCGCTGCGGGCGTTTTGTCTTTCTTTTGTTTCCTTTTTTTTTTTTTTTTTTTTTTTGGCCAGGGGGGGAGGGGTGGTTTGCTGGACCAAAAAGAAGTTCCCTGATAGGTTTAATCTCGCCGGGCCCGACGGCCTTGACGGGGTTGACGGAGACCGCCGTTTGTGTCTGCTGGACCGATCACCGAAGCCGGGGGTGGGAGGCAGGATGAGTGGAGGAGGGGATGGATTGGAGTGTGCATATCCATGATGGAAACGGGACGCAGGGAAACGGTGCTGCAGAGGTGCGGGTTTGACTTTGCGTGGGAGTGACGGGTTGTGGCTGCGTGTGGGCGGGGATGGCGTGCGGTGCAAGGTCTATCGTTTGGAACAGCCGGGGTCGGTAAGATTCAAATCAAGTTTCTTGGAGAACAACATCACATGTAGCTCATGAGTTAGTTGACTGGAATGAATGATGATCAGAATGAAACGTGAAGAGTAGAGAGAGAACTTCATCAAGGCTCTCTCAGTCTCTCTCCGTGTTTGGTCTGTTGTCTCTCTATGTTTTTTTCTTTCTTCTTCATAACCAGACGTCTCAGGTCTGATGAACTTTTCCCCAACTTCTAATACCGAAAATCCATCCTTGTATACCGAAAACGCCGGCCACCAATGCCCCCAGATGTATCCCAGGTATACGAATCCCCGTAGTTCCCCGTCGTAGACAGTTGTATGAGGGTATCAAAAGATGTGTTAGTGTTGCTGTAAACAAGCTCAGAACCGCCCCTCCTCAGAAAAAGAAAGTGGAAGTAAAGGCAACGAACGGTAGCCGTGTGATGATCTAGAATCGTCCACCCCGTCTTCCTCCGCCGCCGCCGCCACCACCACCACCGCCACCACCTCCACGACCACCAGAACCGGCGCTGCGGCCTTCGCCGCCGCCGCCGCCGCCACCACCTCCGCGGTGTCCGTGCCGGCTCTTGGGCGCATCGGGAATAACAACCAAACCTCTGGTTCCGCGGAGACCCATCTTGCCAATGGTGCTCTTCTGGATCGCGGGCGTCTCGGGGCAGGCGAGCGCGTCGCGGGCAAAGGTGTTGCCCTCGGCGACGAGCTGCTCCTTGTCCCACTTGAGTGGCTTCATCCAGTTCTTGTAGTAGCCCAGCCAAGCCTGATAGATCTTGGCCTTTTGCGTCTCATCGATGCGCTGCTCCGCAATGTCGTACACCGCCTCGGCCGCCGAGAGGTCGGCGGGGCGGGTCTCAAAGGTGATCTCCTTGAGGGTCCACTGCGGGAAGAAGCCCTCGACCTCGGCGACGATGAAGATGCCGCGACCCTCGGCGCCGGCGCGGGCGGTACGGCCGAGGCGGTGGATGTAGGACTCCTTGTCGGCGGGGATGCCAACCTGGAAGACGGAGGTGACGCCGGGGAAGTCCATGCCGCGGGCGATGACGTCCGTAGCGACGAGGATGCCGGATTTGGAGTCGCGGTAGTCGTTTGTCGTCTTCGTGCGCTTGCTCTGGGAGATGCGGGAGTGCAGCACGGCGGTGGGCGGCATGCCGGGCACGTTGGCGAGGACGTCGCCGTAAAAGTCGGCGAGGGCGGCCGTGGGGGCGAAGATGATGGCCTTGAAGGTGTCCGGGCCGACGTGGGCGGCCTCCTCGCGGATGGCGCCGACCATGGCGGGGGCGACAGCGGCAAAGGTGGGCACTTTGATGAGGTGCTGGGGCACGCGCTCGTGGGTATTGGCCTCGCCGGCCGGGATGGTGGAGATGAACTTGTAGCCCTGGGAGAGGACCAGGCCGGCGACCTGCTCGACGTGGGAGGCGATGGTGGCGGAGAAGAGCATGCCCTGGCGGTTGGTCTTTGTCTTGTCGGGCAGGGCGCGGACGATGTCCTTGAGGGCAGGCATGAAGCCCATGTCGAGGAGGCGATCAGCCTCGTCGAGGACGAGGGTGTCGAGGTGGCGGAAGGCATCCTTGATGTACTCGTTGGACATGTGATCGATGAGACGGCCGGGGGTGGCGATGAGGATATCGCAGCCGTTGAGGATCTGCTTCTCCTCGCGGTCCTTGTTGGTGCCTCCGATGGCGATGCAGACGCGATACTGCTTGAGGCGCTGCAGGAGGGCCTCAGCCTCCTTGGCGATCTGCATGGCGAGCTCGCGGGTCGGGGAGATGACGAGCAGGGAGATTCCGGCGCCGCGGCCGCGATTGTTGGTGATGAGAGTCTGGATGGCGGGGAGGAGGAAGGCAATCGTCTTGCCGGTGCCGGTCTTCGCCTGGACGAGGCAGTCGCCGCGCTTGGGGGGCAGGAGCTCGCCCAGGGTGGCGGCCTGGACGGGCATCATGTGGTCGAACTTGAGGTCTTGGGTGATGGCCTGAACCAGGGATGGGTCAACGCCGACCATGTCGGCGAATCTCGGTGTATCCTGGGGAACGGGCTCGGTGAGGGGCGGCGCCGTTGACTGGGCGGCTACTGCTGCTGATGCTACCGGGGCGGGGGCGGGCGCGGGCTGGCCCGATCTGGGGGACTCGTTGTATGGCGCATCGCGGCGGTCGCGTCTGGGGCCGCGCTTCTGGTTCGAACCTCTTCCTCTGCGATCCATAATGTCGAATTTTGGGGGTTTCGGTTCTTGCTGTCCTCGCACGGCGAAAATTTGTGAAGGCCGTGGTGAAGGGCGAGTGATGTCAAAGGGAAAATTTCCTGGCACAACAGGGACTTGACGAAACTGCTCTACCTATGCTGGGCCTAGCGTCACTGCGATAAGGAATTGCAGAAAGAGCGATAAGAATTTAGGGGTCCAGCGCACTTGCTCTCACCGCTTACCCCACTTTGCCCCTCCACCCCTTCCTTCCTTCCTTAGTTAGGTACGGTCCTACCTACCACAGTGATGGGCTGAATGCAAAGTACCTCGCGTCCTGACATTCAATATCGTCAATCACATTAATCCAACCTTATCGCAATTGATGTTCCATAAGGTACCTATCGAAGCTACATGAAAGATAATGTATTCCCATAAGCCCTTGAACACGCAGTAATCATTGCGATCTTATGCAGATTGGCAACCACCAAAGTCTTACAACGCCAAAGCTCCAACCACAGTAGCCCATGAGAGTCATTACGCATTCCTTTTCAAACTCCAGTTCGTCGTGTTCAATCTGCGTGAGATTGAAACACGTGGATCTCCAATGAACATATGCTTTTAAAAGCTAGCGTGGAGAAGAATATGAAGTGAAAGCACAAACACCGGGGTAAAAAACACTCGTCTAATTCGTGCCAGAAAGTCATGAGAATTGGAGAAAAGAGAAAAGAGAAACGAGCGCCAAGTGCAATACCAGTTTTGAAAAAGCAGAAGAACCAGTCTTGCAAGAGCAGAAGAGCCACCAACTCAAAATGAAAGAACAAGGTGGGAAGTCTACCATGAGTAGAATTCTCAATTCGGGTAAAAGGAATTCCGACATCCATGGGAGGCCTCTCCGCGAGGAAATGTTGAATTCTCATCATGACCAAACTCTGTACGCAATCCCCACGACGCTGCCGTCATCGGTGGTCATCGGTGGCTGTTGTTGGGGTTGACTAGGTATCCGGCCTTGAGGACATAGGATTCGATCCAAGCCGGGGAAGAGATAAGCGGGGCGGAGGTCTGGGGCCTTGAGTTGCATGGGTTCCGTACTGCGATGCCGACAATTCTTGCAGATGAAGAGAGGGCCGAAAAGCCTCTTGAAACCTGCTGTTCGTCAGCGAGAATCGCTCCCCGGAGTCTCTCGTCTCTGAGACATGATATGGTGGCGACGTCGACGAGGAGTCTCGTACTCAGTACTTCGAGCGGAACTCACGTTCAAATCCCTCTTGGAACTTCCTCAGTTGCAGTCGGAGATTGTTCCAAATCGTGCTTTGAACCAATCTCGCACTTGATCAGCCGTAAACCTTCCTTCAGGGTCCGCAACCAACATGTGTTGGTCAACCATATCCAGCACAGCGGCCGTATACATATCGGTCTTCCTCAGCACCACTCGAATGTATTTTGGCACCTTAATCGCTTCAGGAAGGACAGCGTCGTTGTAGTGGAATGTGTCGCTTATCTCTCCAGTCCTGGCGAATAATCCAGCTCTTCGAATTCTTGCATACTGCAAAACCGCTTGGGGTCCCAGTGCGACATAAATGGCTGCGACAAGAAACACGCAGCCAAGTGACCATATATCACTTGCTTGCGTGATAGATGGCTCCTGCATACTCCTGCTGTCCAGATATGCCGCTTTTTCCGGAGCACCTATGACACAATTGTAAGTCAAGCTGAACTTTCCATGGTCGACATAGCAGAAGACTTTTATTAATAAGAAATACTGACCATAGGTTCTTGTGCCCCCAGTGACTCTGGCCCCTTGTCGCCGATTGTCGGCATTGGACAATTTGATGTAAGCCTCTCCAAGATCCGCCAACTTGAATCTGTTGCCGACGCGAAGTATGTTTTCAGGTTTGATATCTGCATGCCACCTATAAAGAGTTTCAGTTGAGCACCGCAGTCGAAGAATTGTTCCAGTCATTTCAGATGAGCTTACGTGTCATAGTCCACACCACCGAGCCTAAGTTTGTAGATGGAGGCAAGCGTCTCAGAAACGCCAAACATTGCGTGCCAGAAACTCGAGATCTCCTTCGGTGAGACGGGAGGTTCTGACGTGCGGAAAACAGTGTATAGGTCTGAATCCCCGAGTTCCAGAACGAGGTTGTAATACTCGTGCTGGGTTCCTTCGCCGTCGGTCTCAAGTCCCTGGTACCATCCGATGTACTGGACCATACCGTCTTTGTCCCTGAGATATTCGGACATGTTGGCTTCGTTTCGGAAATTGCGAGGTCTCTCAAACTCGAATTGTTTGAGGGCAAATCTGTATCGCTGTATATGGCGATGTTAGAGCCTTGAGCAATTGTCATGAGGTGGTTACCCTCAACCGACGACGGCTCGAGCATCAGGGCTTGGCTCACGAAACCTTGGGAAGGGTCCCCTTGGCGTTTGAACCGTGCCGAGGCCATCTTCCTCTGCAGCTCCAGGCCAACCATCTCTTCAGGAACTTCAATCGAATACAGAGACGCGTTGTTCTTGCGCGGTCCTCCACCGTCTCGATGAGGCTTGATCTCGGTTTTCTCCAGAACGGGTATGATCCTGTTGAAGTAATTCTCTCTCATCCCAAGCTCGAACTGTACCGGACACCAGGCTAGTTGAACCTCGAAAAACGCGTCGGAAAATTTCTCAAAAGACCACACTCGTATCCGATCCGAGTTCAGAATTGTCTTATCGAATGGTAGTTTGTTGTCGCTGAGGCCATTTTCGCGAAAGACGTCGATTTGCGATGGAGCACCAATATCAAGCAGTATGTAGAAAACACAGAGATATCCTTCCAGAGCTTCCAATTGCATTGTTGGCGGTTGCATGAAATTTTGCCGAAGCCAGTGAGTCTGGCATAGCCTGTCGAGATCGTCTTGGAACCTGTTGTGACAGGACGGTGACCTAGTCTTGAGGCGACGGGTAACATTCCCAACGATGACAAATTCTCCACCGCATTTCGAGATTCTTGTCTCTTCTGCTCGAATGGTCTTGAACTCGTTGACAGCTGTATCGAACTCGGCAGAGTAGTCAAATTGCACATTGACGCTCATGGTGTGAGACAGCGTTTCGGCTGCCGAAGGCGGATCAGGTAGGCGTCGTCTCTCTTACACAGGTGTAACAGTCTGGTGGTACTATCGCACAGAGAATCCTGGAATGATTTCGAAGACGTTTCGCGGGTTCTCTGACGATCGTTCTGCTGGAGGCCGAGTACGGGTTGATGTTGGAAGCGAAAACGAACGGGCTCAAGCAGCATAAGCACATATGCAGAAAGGCTGGACCAAGACGGGACACTGGATGAAATGGAAGAGATGAGGAGGGAATCATCAGAAGATCGAGACATCAAGCACTTTCAGAGAACGCTGCAGTTTCCTTCGGCAAGTAATGGGCGCTTGTCAACCTCCCAAAAATGCGGCAGACTGGCCGGCTGACCGGCATCAATAACAACCGACACCTATTGTTCAGGTTCTCTTGAACACTTCTGAGGCTATGTATCTATTTCTTTCTGTTGCAAAAACGACGCCGTTGATTGCGGGCAGCAATAACCGCCACATACACCCTTGTGACAGATTCTCTTGAATATTTCTGATGACTTGGACCTTTCTCTTGGCATAGTGGTTCGAACCGGGACAAGTCGTCTCTCCAGAGACTGACCCATGAATAGCCAATAAGAAGATTTAGAATAATACTAAGCCTCGCACATCGGCTTGAAAATCGAAACATATCAAAATCATCAATGGCAGAAAGACCCACCAAGGCGAGCCTTCTTTCCTCTCCTCGAGATTGTGATATCTTTCCAGTACATGCAAGAAGCCTTTGCCTACATGCCACTACTTCTAGGGGTATGACAGACCCGGACTGTGATCTCCAGGGGAGATGCGAACCACGAGTATCTTGTGTGGTGTATGACAAGGCTCTGGCATGACCAAACTACCCTGGGCAGACTGAACAAGATCAGACGGAAAAAGATCAGCAGTGGTACACAGCGCTTGGGAGAGGGGGGGGGGGGCTTTTCGTTTTGGCAAACTGCTGGAAGCACCCTACACGGGGGTCCAAACGCATGTCAGAGGGCCGAATCAGCGATCAGAGACGCCTCAGCTTCGTATCTATCCGGCTGTGGTGTGGGTCTTCCTCAGATGCTCGGGAACTTTGCGTTCACTCACAGGGGCAGGGGAAGTCTCTGAGAGCATTCCCTTCCATGGCCAGCTCCAGACAGTGTAGGGCAAGAACTTAATGTTCAAAAGATATCCGCATGGTCCTTGTTGACGAGCAATTCTCAACTTGGATCAGTGACGAAATGGCGCCAAACCGAGAAGGGCGTGCAGCCTGTGGTTCTTCGCACACCGTGGCTTTCAGACGCCTCGCTGAGCCATCGGACCTCGCTTTCTGTGAGGCATCTTCCCGCAATTTGTTTAAAGTACCGCCGAGTCCTCAGAAACTACCTTGCAGCTTCCACGAGCTTTAGGGGGCCGGTCGTCTTCACCTCCTCGATTTCCCCTCGCCAGATCGAAACTTCCCTGCGCCTTCAAACGCACCGACTCTAGCTCTCACTCACTGCTTCGAAACCCACCGGTAGGTAGGTGCAAGATGAGTGGGGAGGTAAACCCGAAAATCACCTGGGCCGGCCAGACATCGCAGACAAACAACAACGATACAACCCAAGCAGGCAGTGCAAGTTCGGCGAACCCCGAGCCGCTTCTGAGACCTCAACCAACGCAGAAGCCTCCCAGTGGCTGGATTTCAGAGCATGTTAGCTCGTATAACTTGAGATGGCATAAAGTGCAAGAATGGCTGGTGAGGCGTTTCGAGAACGAAATCAACGTCAGCGCCACCGGTGGAGGCTTCAGTGAAAAACAGGTTCGTTTGCTGTAGACCAGGACCAAACGCACGTCTCTCTACTGACCGGACGTTGAAGCATCTCAACGACGTTTACTTTTTCCACGTGCCGCATCCCCTCACAGAGGTTAGTGAACTAATGGCCCATGATGGCGCTCCCTGGTGGCAAGCTTTGTTGCATAATATGCTGACTTCAAGCAGGACGACAGAAGAGCAATCGATGATCTCAGAGACAGGGATCCAAACGATGTGCTGAGGCAGGCGCGGCGCGAGAGATACACTCCGGATCCCTAAGAATAGATAGGAGATGATCTTGGTTGGGATTAGAATTCATTAGTCAACTTGATACACATCCCTAATGAAAGCTCACTTTTGCAATGCAACAGAGATGATGATCATGAATCTGGCTGAGAAGCTCCGCCCCTCGTAGTCACTTGTGACACTTCGGGATACTTGCGACGACCTCGCTTATAAGCTCGCTCAGCTCGGATAGCGGTGTACCACGCTGGCGGGCGCTGGCTTCGGAATCCGTTTGGCGCTAGGAAACCTGCCGCCTGCGCTGAAGTCGCAGATACACTCCATGCCGGATGGTCAGTTAATCAAATCTTGCGGATACTTGCCGAGAATTCGGGCATTCTTCCATGGCTGACTGAAGATTGCTTTTGTGGAACGACTTGGCAAAGCATGCAGCCGCCCGCCTTGTCTTACTTGGTGTGATAGGCCACAGTGAATGACGCCTCGCAAAGAGCCTGGTGGGCTGATGCTGCTGGGCTTTTCCCGCATGACTATGTTTTCTCCTTGCCTGCCATCTCGATTCCGACTTGGATCAAATCTTCTAAAAAGTCGGCTAATACCGTGCTTTGGATGGATCACGGCCAGACCCAATTTGCAAAGCTCATTCTACCCTATTGTATAGGCCATTGTTTGGATTATTCGACCTGCATCCACCATGCCGCCGCCGACTGAGCTACCGACGCAGACTGAGGTACCGCCTGAGTTTAGAGACTCCTACCTAGGATCAGACAACTACCCGCTCAACCACGTGAGAGCCAGTTCGTATGGACGAGCCAGTCTATTGGACCAAAGGAACAGACTCATAGATCGGGGAGAAACTCTCTTCGTCAGCGATGAAAAGGCCAAGATCCCGATTCGCGACATAACTGGAGCTGGCGGAGTCCGCAAAAACAATGTATTGAACGACGGCCATCTGAAAGAGCTTCTTGGCGAGTTGACCGTACCAAATCCACGAAACCTTGATCTGTCTCCCAGAGTGTTGGCATTTAAGAGAGACGAAAAATGCCGCTTTGTGTAAGTTTTTTTTTTTTTTTTTTTGGCACTCTGTTACGTAGATAATCTGCAACACTAATACACTCGAGCTCAGATTCCTCATTGCCGAGAACGCTTTGGCGCCTCTGGAAGCGCGACCGGAGATGTTGATGCGTCTCTTGACCTTTTACCAAGTCATGCCACAGTTTCTGGACTTTCTCTATATCTATGGATCCCCACATGGCGAAGACAAAAACCTCCGGTTCAGTGGCTTCAGAACAGAAAAGGTTCTCATCAATCCCGCACCGGGGACGTGCATTCCAGATATGGGCCGAAGCGGGAGGAGATTTCAGATTTGCTACAACCTGAAGACTGTAGGACTCAAATTTGAGCAACCGGGACAGGAGGTCAACAAGGTCTGGAAAATCAGGCAAGCAGCTATCCACCATCAGTTCGACGTCGGATCCGGGGTCCAGAACTGGATACTTGGAGATCCACACGCGGTGGTCAAAGGCCTTATCCAGGAGCTTTTCCCAGAGAAGCGGAACCATTCTTCCAGATTCGGGACTACAGAGCAGTCGCTGTTGTCATCTCTAGAGGTACACCTTGTTCTGGCGAGGTGGGCGACGTCAGGATGGAGGTGGAACGTGCAGTCACTTGAAGAAATCATCGATAACCTGGTAAGCTTGGGCCAACGAAACTTGAATTCTATCCTTAATTTAACCGAAAACCATCTCAGACTCTCAAGATCATTTCCATACAAAAGTCGAACTTGGAGACACTTGATTCTGAATCTCTGGGGATCGTCCAAGAGTGGGAAGACAAGACCAATGAAACCATCATGGTGATGGAGTCGAACGCCGACATCTTGACGATGCTGAGGAAATTCTACATGGAACTTGTCAAGGACCAGAACTTTCCGAGCAGTGAACTCCAAGCTGGCACACAAGCGGTGAATGATTTTGCATCTCAACTCAATGAGATGATATACGACACCCAAATGCAAATCTCTAGGGCCCAGGTTTTGGTCAAGATCGTGGCAGACAGGAAGGCAATCGTACGTTGTTCAATCCACAAATCAACTTTCCCTTTACTAATATTATGCTTTTGTAGCTCATTCAACACATGCAGGCCCAGGCAGCATTGGGTGCATCAAAGCTCACAGCGAGCATGTACGACCAAGCCGATCGAAGTGCCATAGAAGCAGTTGCCATGCGCATCGTGACAGTTGTCACACTGATCTACCTTCCAGCAACTTTTTCCAGTGTAAGAAACCACTCTTCTCTGCCTATTCATCTCCATGAGCAACAGTTTTGGCAATTCTAACAAACACTTTAGACTTTCTTCAGCACAAATGTTGTGAAATATCAAGATGGAGTCAAGTTTTCCGGGGTTGCATTCGAAAGATTCCTTCAAGTAACTATTCCTTTGATGTTTGTCACCTTCCTCCTTGCAGGAGTTTGGTTCTGGTGGGAATTGCAAAGGAGAAGACGAAGCTCCATGGCGACCAGAAGTGCGAACCCAGATGCCTTCCCTCTATATGAGGTTGTGTCTGGGAAAGAATCGCGATAGTTATTTGCTCATTCTAGGCCGAACAGTTTGACTTCATCTCTGGGGACCGACGGTTAAGTATTAAAAAGTGAAATTAGGTTAATGGCGTTTCCTTCTAGATTGGACTCTGAAATTGTACTGAGAATTTAGCTATTTTTGTGCTCCTAAGACAGACTTGCCATACAAGACGTTTGCGCACACATGATCCTAGGCTTCAGCCCGAAGAATCATATTGTCAGAAGCCGAATTCGCTGTCGTGCGTCATCGTCCGACCATACTTCGTGCTCGACCCAGGTTCTACAACATGATGTCCGTTCAAGGGTGTTGATAAGCAGAATCCGCCGACTGGGCGTCTCGTTAAATCGTGGCGAGTTTGAAGGCTCGCTTAGATGGACTTTTAACCGCTTTGTGATATGTGGAGACGGAGTTAATGAGAGTTTCAACTAATAACATAACAAACATGTACGACATCTATGCAAAGCTTGATGTCGCAACACACGTTGAAGGATCTTGATGACTTTGATCTCCAGCCCACGAATTACTACTTATCCTAGTAATTGAATTGTAAAGTAACCCCTTTTATACCAGCAGGGGCCCTGGTGAACCCCTTTAGTCAGGCTGGGCACCTGACAACAGTACCCTGCTTTCCTTGGCAAACCGCCGCCGTAGCTCCTTGGCCACAAGGTCCTTTAGCTTCAGCGTCTTGACGAGCTCGAATTGAATTCATCTCTGGATCTCGGCCAGGTCTTGATCGGAGTCGTGAAAGAAACGCTTCGAGGTCAGGGAGCACACGTATCCGTCCAAAGATTATTTAGAATAGTCTCTCAGCATGCGTCTCATTTCACTGCATCGGGCTCGGAACACAATTCTCTTCATCGTTGGATTCAAGCTGTCTCACCAATGCCACGCCGATGGCTTTCTATTCTCTCTAAAACACAAATGCCTCCGCCGAGTCCCGAGACCTTTTTTTCTATAAACCAGAAGACCCAAATTGGAACAAAACTACACAACCGCACAAGCCAACAAGGCTCTCCCCTTATGATGCGAAGAAGGCGGTGACAGCGTTGGTGAACTGGACGGGGTCCTGCATGGGCGCAAAGTGGCTGACACCGGTGAGTATGGTGAGCCGGCTGCCGGGGATGGCCTTGTTCAGGGTAGCGGGGACGTCGAGGTTGACGGCCTCATCGTGCTCGGCGCCGGCAATCATAATCTTGGCACCGGGGATGGCCTTGAGCTGGGCGGCAGTGAACTGCGGCAGGGTGTTCTCCATCGTCGAGACTTTTGTGGCGAAATCGGTGAAGTTGGCGCCGGGCTGGAGGCTGGCGTACTCGGTCGCGCAGCGCGAGACAAGGGTGGAAAAGATGGCCGTGTCGCTGAAAGTAACGTTGGACTGGGAGGGGTTGGCTGTGGCGCCAAAGAGGAAGACCTTGTTGATGGGCTTGGCCGTGACGGGGTTGACCAGCGCCGCGAGAGCGGTGTTGCCGCCGTCGGACCATCCGACGATATGGTAGGACGTCACGCCGGCGCCCTCGAGCAGGGCGTGGGTGTCGAGGGCCATCTGGTCGTAGGTGAAGACGTCGCCCTTGTTGTAGGTCGTGCGGCCGTGGCCGCGGCGGTCGACGGCGATGACATAGTGGCCCGCGGCGATGAGGCGGGTGATGACGGCGCCAAAGTAGGCAGAGTAGCCGAGGCCGCCGTGGGCCACAAGAATGGGCACGCCGCCGGCCTTTTCGTTGTACTTTTGGAACCAAATTTGGATGCCGTTAATGGGTGTCTTGACCGTGGAGATGGGGTTGGGGAGCGCCGGGGTGGCCGGGAGGGTTTGCCAGATTGGGGTCTGGCGGACGGCCAGGCCCGAGACGGAGCCGGCGACGGCAACGGCGGCGAGGAGAGCGTTGGTGAAGTGCATTTTGGCGGTGTCTTTACCGGGAATTTCAAAAAGAATGTGGTGTGATGACTGGTAAGATAAAGAGTGTGGGGGGAAACAAACACGAAAAGTGAGAGACTGAGTGAGAGACGATGCGATTTGGGAAACCAAAGGCGAACGATTGTTGACCGGTGAAGGAGAGAGGAAAGTCTAGATTTGGCAAGGGGAACAATCGTGTAATTAAATACTACACAATCCGTTCTTTGAGTTCCTGCATCTCCCTCTCCCCTGCTCAGTCAATTTTCTCCCCAGCCGGCGAACCGAAGGGCTGGAATTGAGTCAATTGCAAGTCATACCGTCGGGGCGGAGCCAAAATCTGAAAATAGGAGGCGTCGTCCAGGATCACGACTCACGTAACCCGGTTTAGAGTTTTCGCACTCTTCGCCCTCCCCGGTGTCCGCGCCCAAATCAATGGCCCTTTCGGCCGGCCGTTCGTGCCGGAAGGGGGGAGCCCCATCAACTCGGGGCGCCGCGCGCGACATAACAAGAACAAAAAACAGTCTGTAGTTATATCGCAGGTGACTAGGCGACGTATCGGCTAACGGGCAGCCCTCAAATGAACTCAGATGACCCTGCTACAAAGTGTCAGAATGCCATCGCCGTCTTGGTGGCCATGGAGAAAGGATAAACTCCGAGGAGTTCGGACAAGACTGTTCCAGCCGTATGGTCCCTCACACACACACTCGGGAGGACCCGACTGTCCATCGCTTTGACAAACGGGATGACAAGGGTATCCCGCACAGATCACGTCTGGAGTTGATGGGGGGAGATGGCTATACCACTATGCATTATTCTAGTCAGCCTCAATGTCGTATTCATCCACGGCTTTGCGGAGCCTCGAATCGTATGCCGACGAAATCGTTTGTTGCCAACCAAGTCTTAACTTTGTGGACATTCAGCAAGCATCACGCTTGATCACCTTCATAATCGCAAGCTTTTTGCAACACCGAGACCGAAGTCAACGTTTTTCAAGTCATGATTTTGAGCCATTTCTTTTCAACATACTCTAAAGCCCATCCATGGTAGGCTATAGTAACTTTTCTAGGATAATTACGAAAAAAGCGAAAAAAGAAAAACAGGAACTAGGGAAAATACTACTCCTTACTGACTGATCCCCTGCGCAGGGCCATGCTCTACAATCTTTCCCTTGTCCAGGCGGATAAAGTAGTTGGCGTCCTGAACAGCCTCCAGCCGGTGAGCAATCGTGATGACGGTGCTCGTAGTCAACTCATTCCTCAGCACCTCCTGCACTCTGGCAGCCGTCTCCTTATCAATCGACGCCGTGGCTTCATCCAAGACCACAATCGGGCTCCTTCTAAGGACGGCCCGGCCAATCCCGATGAGCTGCCGCTGTCCCTGGCTGAGGTTCTTCCCACCGCCGTCGACGTGGGAGTACAAGTCCCAGCCGGGACCCAAGACCCGGTGCAAGACAAGCACGCACTCGCTGTCGGTATACTGGCGCAGCGGGTCGAGATTGTCTCTCAGCGTTCCGGGGAAGAGAACAGGATCTTGTGCTACGAAGCTGACGCGCTGCCGCCACACGTGAACGTCCACGTCAGACAGCTTAAAGTTTCCGACGCGGATGGCGCCCTCCGAAGGGTGCATCGTCGCGAGGAGGGCGAGGGCCAGGGTGGACTTACCAGACCCCGTCCTACCCAGCACCGCGCAAGTGGAACCTCCGGGGATGGTGAAGGAGGCTTCCGAGATGGAGGGGTCCAAGTGAGGTGCATACTTTAAAGTAACGTTGTCAAAGACGACGTCGTCCGAGTGGTGAGGCCAGCTGGCGGGAGGCTGCAATTCACCGCAAGGCTCCTCGGGGATGTCCAGAAGCTCAATGACGCGCTCGACCGAAACGAAGTCCATCTGCAGTGTACCGTACTGCTTGCAGAGGGTATGCGTCGCCTCGACAAACGCCGACGCAGTCGTCAGGACGAAGGCGGTCAGACCGGGCGAGAGACCCTTGTAGAGCGCGAGAAGAGTGAGCGCAAAGGTGCAGATGGCGGAGAGGGCGTCGAATCTGTACATGAGCCAGGCCTGGAGACTCCAGTAGAAGTGGTCCATCTTCTGGAAGGCGTCGGTGACGACAATGTTCATGTTCTGGAAGTGGTGCTGCGCTTTGAAGGCGCGGATGGTCGCGAGTCCGTCAAGCAGGATTCCAAAGTTGGACATGAGCGGGCTGAGGGAGACCATTTCCAGCCTTCGCAGGCTCTGCGAAGTGGGTAGGAACCGCATAAAGATGTAGACGAACCAGAGCGTCATGCCGACCGAGAAGAGTAGGAAAAGCGGCGTGACTGAAGCAATGACTACCATGCTGGAGAACCAGGTGATTGACTGCACGGCAACTTCGCGCAGGGGTGACATGATGCCGCCGTCAATCATGCCAATGTCGGAGACGAGACGATTCATCAAGCGTCCCACTGGGGTGACGTCGTAGAACCGGAAAGTTGCTCGGCCGACTTTGTTGATGACTCTCTTGAAAAGATCCCTTGCCGCAGTGATGATCATGAGTAGCGTAAGTCCTTCCGACAATGTGTAAATCACAGCCTGAGCAACGGCGATCCCGAGATAGACCCACAACCAGGGCTTCAAATCGGTATCTGGGTCCGGGAGCCCAGCAAAAAGCTTGGAAAAGTCGATGCCATCGGACGTCCTCTTCGCCGATGTCTCGTGCGTGTATGCCTCACCCCACGCTTTGAGGAACCAGTAGTTGAGAAGGCTGCCCAGTCTAAACAAGGCAAACACCAAGACAAGCACAGCCCACCACTTGAGCTTACCGGCCTTGATGTAGGTCCAGTAAACCGATAACATGACGCCGCCGTGAGCGCGATACTCCTCTTCGATGAACTTGGACGGTATGGCGGCGTCTTGCTGGCTTTCATCGAGGGTGTGCTCATGGTCGTCCTGGTGAGCTGCCGGGTCCTCATCTTCCAGGAGGAACTTGGCGACTTCTGCAGATGCTTCTTTAGAGTTCAAGACGCGAGCCGTACCGTCGACGACTTCGACCATTTGGCTGGCGAGATGAAGACACAGGTCCACTCGATGCGTCACGAGCACGACGGTGCGGCCTTCCACCAGCGGACCCTGGAGAAGCTTCTTCACGATGGATTCAGCTGTATTGTGGTCCAGAGCAGCGAGGGGGTCGTCCAACAGCAGCACGCGAGACTGGCTGTAAACGGCGCGGGCCAAAGCGACCCGTGCCCTTTGTCCGCCCGATAAGCCGATTCCGTTCTCGCCCATGTCAGACAGGTCCCCATGCTTGAAGGTGGCCAGGTCGGGGAGCAGAGCACACGCATCAAGAGTCTGAGTGTATCTCGTGGCGTCAAAGGGCGCCGAGAAGAGGATGTTGTCGCGGATGCTCATGTGCTGCAGCCAGGGACTCTGAGCACAGTATCCAATAGGTTCTGTTGGGATAATGACGTCGCCTATTTGCCGGTCAAGTTCTCCAAGGATCGCTTGCAACAATGCAGTCTTGCCAGAACCGACTTTGCCAAAGATAACCGTGAGGCCCTGCGGGAAGCTGATATCGAGGTTCCTTAGTACGGGTTGCTCGTATCCGGGCCAGGCGAACGTAGCCTTTGTGAACTTGATGTCGTTCGTGAGGTGATCTGAGAACACGCCGTCCTTGTCAGGCTCGCTCATAAACTCCTCAATGCGTCCCATGGCGATAGATGCGTTTAGAACAACCGTGATGAGACCTGGTAATTCCTTGAAGCTAGTCTCTAGCAAAGTGAAGAGAGAAAGAGCGGGAAAGGCCACATCAACTGACAGAGTCTTTCCGGCAACGAACGTATAGGCGAAGAAGGTCGCAACAGGGAAAAGCGTGCCAGAGGTAATGTTGAGTGTAGAAATCGCGATACTCCATAAGCCGGTAACGACTCTGGTCTTCAGCTCGTGTCGTCGAGTGACCATGATGGCATCCAGCCACTTTGATTGCCAGTCATACCAGCGCAAGTGCCTGATTCCTTCGACAAACTGCGACGTAGACTGCAACCGAGCATCAGTAGCGGCCCTGCGGACGCGTTCCTTTTTGAGAAGTTGGGTGATGAAGATGGTGTTCAGCATCTGAGCAAGCATGACACAAAACATGCCAAACATGCATGACCAGCCAAGGAGCTGCCATACGAGGAAGAAAGAGAAGATGAACTGGAGCGGCTTCACGACCAGAGCCGGGAACTCCCAGAATCGCTGGGCAACCTCATAGACGTCATTCCTCATCAGATTGAGAATCTTTCCAGTGGTGGCAGGCTGCCTTGTTGGTTTTTGCTTTTGCAACCGGCGGTACTTGTGATTCGTTGATCGTCCACGTTTGAACCAACCAAACAGCCTCCCGAGACGGCTGGTCGGCTCGCTGCCACTGTCGGTATCATCGGTACCAGCTTCTGTGTCTTCATCTTCGTCATCATTATCGTCATCTCCGTCCTCTCGAGTTTCGTCATTCATCTTCTCGGCAGCCGGCTGACCAAAGTGTTTCCGCGATAGAGTTTTGGCGTAAAGCGTCGTAATCATTTCTCCACGGGACCTCTCGTAGCAACGCCTAGAGAACCAGAGTTGGAAGACGGCAGCCTGGCAGGCAATGAGACGGACAGCCAATATACCGATGGCGTACAGGATGGACACCTCAATGTTCTTGGAACCGCCCTGGATGGCCCGCAGGAGCTGCTGCAACAACATGGGGACGGAGAGCGCGGCGGCGCATTCGACGATGCCGAGGAAAGACTGAATGATCAAGTCCAATCCATTTGCTGAAAAGAGCTTGACGGTCATGGACCCACGGAGCTCGTGGAACAGGCCGTGGAGGCGCTCATGCTGGAAATCGAACGGTAATTGCCATACATCTTCGTTGTGCAGCTGCTTCTCGTAGCCCTTTGAGATCATTGGCGCCATCCACGAAACCGTCATGAATCTCCACAGGGATAGATTATCCTCGGGACTGCGGAGCTCGTCGGTGGGTTTGGCGTACGCGATGCCAGAGTCTCCGAGCGACGGATCCCGCATCGGCATCGCCACAATGCCAACGATGCCAGCCAGACTGATGACGGGGTCTGCGAGGACGAGCTTGGGGACTACCTTGTGAAGTCTGTAACTGAATGCCGTCGAAACGACTCCGCAAGCCAAGATTGCGAAGTAGAGAAACAAGAGGGTCTTGGGGGTCTTGGTAGGCCGGTCCACGGCGGTGATCAGAGCGGCGATGACCCAGGGCACCAAGTCCAGCAAGTCAAAAACGCGACGCGGTTGCGTGAGAGTAGACGACACGCCCTGAACCAGTCCAGCAAGCGCGACCACGACCAAATAAACCGTCCAGAATGTCCAGGGTTTCTTCAAGGATGGCCGTACGGTATCGACGTAGGAGGACTCTTGGGCAAAGCCACAGCACCAGGCAGGCCTCTTGCGAATAAGAGGCCTCAGAAGAACAAGGCACAGCAGCGACGCCGCGGCCGAGGCGCGGACGATGTTGGTGATGTCCATAGCTCTGCAAGCATCGAAAAAGGCGGCCGTCGTCAGGGTCGTTGCGTTCTTCTCAAATTCTGCGTGAGATAGAGAGTAAAGGTGAGAAGGGCCGCCGAGGACATCCTGAAAGGCGACATAGCTATAGTACGGCAGACCCCGTCCGTACGGAGGCTCGCCGCCGTCCAGGTCTGCAAAGCTGGCCATCATTCTGACAAAGTTTGGCAGCGATTGCTGCCGGGTTACACGTGTGGAACCGTGGTTGCGATACCATCAAGCTCCCAACCGCGGGGGTTCTTGGTACCAGATAACGGAGTGAGGTTGAGGGTCGCGTATCAGTACCGATCTCACCGCTCAGATTCTTACAGTGTCAATTCGTCGATGGCTAATGAAGGATCGGACGCGAAGGGTTACCTTGGTAATTTATTCCCGAAATCCTACCTGCACCTGACTGCTCACGTGTCATCTTCGGATAACACAGCATGGTGTCGCGAATTGGAACCATCGGCCGCATTCAGAGGGTATTTGATAGCCAAAATGGGCGGAACTGCGATGCGTATGGTAGGACAATGAACATATTCGCGAATAAGACCTCCAAGGTCTGATTCTGGACAAAGAGGTGACTGAGCGGCCAACCGGAGGGGCTTGGCGGCCGAATCCCCGCTGGCACCGTCTGGTACCTACCTATGCGGGTTGGAGGGGGTTTCCAACAGTGGAGTGCCTGGAAAGGGTGTACGCTTAGTGACCCTAGGAGTCATAAGCACTTACTAAGGTAGAGCAGGTATGATCCAGAACACCATGTGTGGATAGTAACCAAAGACACTATTCCTGTCTTCCTTTTATTTTTTCGTCCAGAATCGACCCACTCTAAACATATGTGATCATTTCAAATATTTAAATAAAGAAGAAAAAGAACAGATGTCTGTAAGTATTATTAAATTTAAAAAAAAGTTGTTCTCAAAGGCCACCTTAGATGCTATACCTAGTTGGACCATTATACGGGCAGAAGGATATGACCTCAACTCCATACATAAGTTGGTTATGTGCATGGGCGCTTCTTGAACCCTCCCCCTCATCCCGGGGAGATATGAAATGACACAGCCCACGTGACTGCTTCTCTAATTATGCAAGATGATCCGGATGACATAAGCGTGTATCTCCTCGATGAGAGTGGGGCCGCCTTATGCCTGCCGACGGTACGCGGCATCCCTACATCGGTCTCCGGCCACCATATTGATCCGGTTCGCCACCCGGCACCGATCGTCCGGCCCCCGACCCGACTAGGCGATGCAATCTGAGACGAAATGTCGGTTCGTCCCAGCGTGTTTCCCCATACGACACGGCCCCATAATGCGAACACGAACCCGACCATCCTTATGCTGCATTGATCACTTGTTGTCCCTCCCTCCCCTTCTTTACCCCCCTGCTCCCCGCCAAACCACCATCAATCTGCATTGCCAAACATCGCGGCAACTAGCCATATTCTACGCAAGTGCTAATCTCCACCTAGGTAGCCATCATGTGGCACCTTGGCATAGCGGTCTCTAATCAGAGCATGAAGACATACGCTTATGCGGGGGCTGTCAGCAAGCAACTCGTCCCCCAGCTTCACACTCGCGCTGGACTCCAGGGGCGAGCTAGCGATGGAGCCCACGTAGCCTGCAACTTGTCTCCAACGAGCGAACCCATGCGTATCGTTCTGTCTGTGTGCGTGTGAGTTTGACGATGTGACGAGTACATAAAGAATTGACACCCTTCAGCAACATGGCAATTCGTCCGTACTCGAACCTCACCCACATCCACAACAGTCTCCCAACCCATTTTGCCACAAAAACATGACAAATGCAACCGACCCCATCGCCCTCGCAGGCGCACTGCTCGACCCTCAGCACATCTCGCAGCACTGGCCAGCAGCGACCGCCGGCCTCGTCTTCATCGTCTTCGCCTTGCTCGCGCAGAGCTGGCTCAAGGTCGACCCCGTAGCCCACGTCCCCGTCGTGGGAAAGGGAGGGAAATGGGCCCGGAGGAAGGCGTATAACCAGGGCCAAGGACCTCGGCTCTACGCCGATGGTTACAAGCAGTTCAAGGACAGCATTTTCCGCATCACGACGTCCAAGAGTGGGTGCAGAAACTACAAGTCGACTTACATCCCCGCTGACTTGGACCTCTCAGAGAAGGATACCATCTGTGTGCCACCCAAATATCTCCCTGAATTGAAAAAGGTCCCCGACGATGTCATTAGCTTCACCAGGGCCATTGACGAGGTATGCAAAGAGCCGGCTTGGTCTCATTCCCAAATCTTTTCCAACGTCCATTCCCGTTACTAACTTGAAAAAGTCTATGCAAGTCAAGTACACCAAGATGCCAAACGACATGCCCATCTTGATCCACGCCATCAGAGCGTCCTTGACTCCAGCTCTACGTCCGTTCCTTTGACAAGTCTTCCCGAGCAAAGAGCCCAAAAAGCTAACATGTCGCAACAAAAAAAACAGCCCGCCTCAACGCAGCCATCTCAGACGAAGTCAACGACTCGATGCGCCTCGAGCTCCCCCAGTCAAGCACCTGGACCGAGGTCAACATCAACGCAAAACTCCTCCGCATCATCGCAATGGCCTCGGGCCGCGTCTTCATCGGCTCCGAACTCTGCCGCGACGAGCGCTACCTCGACGCCTCCATCAGCTACACCATAGACCTCATGACCGCCGTCCACGTCATCGCCCTCGTCCCGTCCTTCCTCCGTCCCCTGCTAGCCTCCTGGCTGCCCACCACGAAAAAGCTTTACAAGCGCCTCGCGGACGCCGAGGCCGTCTTCCGCCCCATCGTCGCGGCCCGCAAGGCGGAGGCGGCCGCGCAACGGGAGGACGACCCGGGCTACCGAGAACCCGACGACATGCTCCAGTGGATCCTCAACGCCCAAGACAAGTTTGGGGCGCTCAGCGACCGCGAGCTCGCGCACGCGCAGCTCGGTATCAGTGTTGCCGCCATTCACACCACCTCCATGACGACCACCAACGCCGTCTACTGGCTCGCGGCCAAGCCCGACATGATCCCCATGCTCCGGGACGACGTCCAGCAGGCCCTCGTCGAGTCCGGCGGGGGGTTTACGTCCGGCGCGCTGCAGAATATGAAAAAGCTCGACAGTTTCCTCAAGGAGGTCATGCGCTGCACCCCACTCTCAGCAAGTATGTCTTCACCCCCCTTTCCGTTACACGCCGAAACCGAACCATGGGAACACAAGGCCAAGCTTGGCTATCTTCCGGTTCGAAACTTGATTACAGTTTCCTCAATATAAAAGTACTAACCCTTTGCCCCGCTCTTCACCACCCATGTAGCTTCCTTCACCCGCAAGGTCCTCAAGGACGTAACCCTCCCCAACGGCCAAACCATCCCCGAGGGCATGTTCATCGAGGTGCCCGCCGACGGCATGAACAACGACCCGGACATCTTCCCGGACCCACACGTCTTTGACCCCCTCCGCTTCTACAAGCTGCGCGAGGCCAAAGAGTTGGCCGCCGCCTCGGGCCCAAAGGCGGCAGAGGTCGTCGTGCAGGCCCAGTTTGTCAGCGTCGGCACCACGCACCTGACGTTTGGCTACGGGAAACACGCGTGCCCGGGGCGCTTCTTCGCCGTCAACGAGATCAAGATGATCATAGCCAATATCCTGTGCAACTACGAGATCAGGATGCCCGAGGGCATGACGGAGAGATATGAGAATTTGGCTTTTGGCTCTTCTGTGAGTACTGTACCACAACTAAGCTGGGGCGCAACCGGAACTCTCCCCCCTCCCCGCCCTTGATGTGATGGGTTACGGCGATTCTGACGTGGACTGCTGCTAGATTGTGCCGGATCCCAAGAAGACCATCATGATCAGGAAGCTGTAGCCTTTGGTGGATACATGATACGGGTACGAATACGAGATTAACCAGATGAACTCTGCGGCATGTGTTGCCTCTTTCCGAGAAGAGTCAACAGTAAACGAGCGGTTCGCTCTGAGCCATGACCATCTAGCTCGCGCTCTCTCGGGAACCCCTTGCCAGAAGAGTCTTCTATTTCATCAAAAGGATAACGCTGCGTGATGATTGCGTCTCAAGCAGCCCTGTTAGCTCTGGATTTATCAGATAATGAATTTTCAAAGTATCAGTTTGAAACAAGACATTTTAAGGTTGAAATTCAAACTTCCATATCGTCAACGTCAATCCTTTCCAGCACGCTGCGCTTCGGCCACTCAATCCACGGCTTCCACTCGTCATCCAACGTCCTCTCGACCAGGCGCATCACCGCGCCGCTCCACCCGTCGCAGATCCAGTCCGCTTTCTCGCACGGCTTCGCCAACGCGGTGTAGTGCGCCAGGATGACGAGCGCGGTAGGGTGCCCGCTGCCCACCATCTCGATGAACATGGCGGGCAGGGTAGCCGACCACCCCCAGACCCCACCGGGCTTCTCCCCTTCGCTCCGGCTGATCTGGTGCGCCCTCCTCAGCCCTTCCAGTGCCAGGACGCAGACCGACTGCGGGTTGATGACCTCGGTAAAGGACGCGGGTACCTCTCTTGCCAGGGCGGTGATGGCGTCGAGGCGCTTCTGGAACGGCGACGACGACATCCAGCCGCCCTGCGTCAGCGAGGGCGGCCGCAGCAGGGCGTCGAGGGGACCCCCGCGCTGCCTCCAGGCCTCTATGGGCTGGAAGTCGAGGATGCCCTTGACGCCGTGCAGGAGCATAAAGGACTGCGAGACGTCGCTGAGCGCGACCGACCTGCCGAGGCTCTCGCTATGGGCGACGGAGCAGATGCTGACAATGAAGATGAGGGTCGCGAGGAAGAAGTAGGCCTCGCAGTTGTGCTTGTTGATGTCGTTCAGGCGGAGGGCGAAGAAGCGCAACGCGACGTTCTGGTGGTTCACCGAGATGATGTCGTACTTTTTCCGCTCCTGCGGGTGGATGTAGGCGTAATGGAGGGCAGATAGGGCCAACAAACCGTGCATGAGGAATTTCTGTGGTGAGTGATGGTGTTAGACGAACTCATTCGCACACCTCCACCGTTCCATTTCGATCGCCTCCATGATGGAAGTGGGGTTTGGGAGGGGAGCAGTCGGGGCAAAGTTCTGACATACGTGAGAGCAAGCCATCTCGGGTATAGCCGTCTTCCACAACTCTTCGGTACAGGCATCATTTGGTAGGACATGCCGTGTGCTGGTGCTGTAGTGGTGCATCAGGCGTAAACTTTGCAGCCAATCCTCCGAGAGATCCCAGGGATCTGTGGCGGGGTTGCGAGCATCTGGCGCCGTTTCCCCAAGGTAGGGAGAAGTGCTGCTCACTAAGGAGGCAAGGTTAACACCTTAATTCTACCATGGGGATCTCAAGGGTTTGCGAAATTGGACAATCTCGACGATTCGTATCGTAGCGTACCTGCTGTGGGAGTGAGACTCGCTTCACTCGCCGCCTCTTGGACACTACGGGACTGATGCTGAGGCGATGAGGCCGACACCGCCGCGGCCTGGATCGGGGCATAGTGCTGCGCAAGCTTGGCGGCAGCGGGTGGCGTGAGAGGCGCCGTCACGGACGCGGGACCATCGAGGAGGCTGCAGTGCGCCCCATGGGCCACGCATTTCTGGCAGGGTCGTTCCTCGTCGCACTGCGCGATACATAGACGAATTACATGAGTCGAGAACGGCAACAGAGCCTTGTCGAACACTGAGGGACTTTTCGTACCTTGACACGACGTGCTTTGCAGCGCTGGCATCCGTTCCTCGACTTCTTGTGGCCGAGGCGCCGTGTGCGCTTCTCCATGGCGCGGTGGCCGGCAGTTGGAGGACTCGAGTGTGTTCAGGGGTGGGGAGCAAGGGGCGGCGTTGTGGAGAGAGCGTGGAAGCGGGTTCGGGTTCGTAAAGAGTTCGAGGGTTGGTTAAAAGAACGGAGGAGAGAAATGAGGGAAGATAAGGTAGTGATAGAAAAAGAGAATGCGAGTAGCCGATGACGCTGTCTGCCCAATAAGGACATCCCGAATACGGGGGCTTTCGTAAGTCAATTAGGTACGTCAAGACGCCTTGCCGCTGCTGGTGGAATCTCTTGCAGATCAAATGGCTAGTTACGGCGCTAATTACCTTGGTCCTGTGGGGGCCCGGACGGGTGGGGCCGTTCGGCAGATACGAGTGCGGCACTCGTGCACTAATGCGAATCCGAGGTCAATATGGAGCTCATAGGCTTGCTTGATACTATGAACCCAGGGCATTTACATTCCATTGCATTTTTGAATCCACGCTGTAAGGATGATTTCTCCATAGATAAAAGCCTAGAAAAAGACGCAGTCTCTCAGCATCGTTCAACAGCATACAGAGTATGGGGCCCCCTAAAGTCTTCATGGTGAATCTCGCTCACCTAGGCCATCGGAATAATCTTAACATCACGACGTACCATTTTCTTCTTAATCCTTTTTCTTTTCTTTTACATGTTTTGAAACGAGACTGTTTAATGAGATCATAACTAGAGTGGCAGACTTGGAAGCCAAGGGTCAATAGCAGCTTGTACTTGACATACCATCAGATCATCCTTCAGAATAGATCCGGTCCCACAATTATCTGCAAGACTCACGCCTTCATTTACCACTGTCTGGATGATAATGAATGCAATTTTAACAACACGATGTTGCAGTTGGACTAGGTACCTGCGTCATGTACACAAAGTCAACCCTCATCGTTCAAGACGCCAAGTGTATTCGAGTTCTTATTCCCTCCTAGCCACCGCGTGCTCCTCTCACCCACTCGTAGGTCACACGCCCCTGGCTCGCTCTTCTAGAATCCTTCGTATATGTGTTGTATTCGGTGCTGTATACATTGCAGGGAGGCGTGGCTTCCAACACGGATTACCTCGCTTTCATGATCCGCTACAATCAACCGAGACTCCCCATAGTAGCTACCTCACCAATAAGTTCGTCTGGCAAATAGAGCCAGCGCACAATTCCCAACGGCATAATCACACCCAGTCGGGCTCGAAATACTGGGCTTACGCAGCCCCTCGATACGTCGAAGACCTGGAAATTTACATGAACCCCCAAGACCGGTGGGTTCTTGCTGCTGGCTCTTGCTGCCCGTGCTGCCCAGAGATGGCACGCCTGCGGTGCAGTGTACGTAAGCCTCCAAACCACGCCCCGATTCCGAGTCTCACATCCATCCTACCTACCTGACCATCTGCTGAGATTACGTCTCAGCCTGTGGTATACTATGAATGAATGGATAGTAGTCGCAGGTGACCATATTGCCTCACACTACCTAGGAACAGCCATCGCAGAGTGTTTCCCGTGTCCCCGTCCGCCTTACATCATCCTTGCAACATCTCAAGAGCGGTGCGCTTGATGAGATGCATTAACCTTGAAATCGGTATGAGTGCTTGTAGATGTATGATAACAATTTGAGAGAATGGACGGAAACCCTCTGGTCGGTGAAAGTGATGCTAACCAACGTAGCCCAGATCACCAGGAAGCAGTTTAAAATCATGCTTAATTGCACATATTCAAAGATCAAAATCGCTCATATTTGCCCATGTAATCAGCTCATATAACCAGCACCATCCCATGCACCATCATCTCTTCCCTTTTCATCTTTTATGAATAAGAAGAAAATGACTTACCCGTAAACCCGGGCATCCATCCTATACACCTCTCACCAATCCGGCGCACTCCCGCACCCACCCCCGCCGCCGACAACCATCTGCCGCTGCATCGCCGCCGCCTTCTCCATCCCCAAAGCCCCCATCGGCTTGACCCCCGGCCTCTTGGCCCGATGGCCCCGAAACCGAATCTTCTTGTCCAGCGCCTCGAAAGGCGGCGCCCCGGCCTCTCCCTTCCGGACCATCCACCGCGCCGTCCCCAGGGCCGCGTCCAGCTCCTCGACGGGAGGGAGCTTCAGGTACACCATACCGTCTCCCGCCCGCTCCTCCACAGCAAACGTCGCAATGCTGACCTCGTCGTCGTTTTTGCAACTGCCGTCGGCCAGGTCAAAGTTGCGCTTGTGGTACGGGCAGGATACCCACGGAGCCGGTCGCGAAGACCGCTTGCTTTCGTCATCGTTGGTGGTGGTGGTGGTGGTGGTGGTGTTGGGGCCGCCATTGCAGCCGGAATCAGGCTTCTTCGCGTCTTCGCACGTGTCCGCTCCCGCGGCGCCAGGCTCCTCGCCAATGAGCCCGTCAGACAGCACAAACTGCCTCTTGTGCGGACACATTTGCTGCGTGGCATAATACCGCCCGCGAACCCGCCAAACCGCAAGCTGCGTGTCCCCGCGCTTCACCGTCGCCGAGATGCCGTTGGGTGTATCGTCCGCCCCGAAAAAGTGACTCGCCGGTAGCATGGGCTGCCAGGTCGTGCTGCTCCACCTGTTCTTGAGCCCCTTGAAGTCCTCTTTAACGGACTCGGGCGCCCAGTACACGGGGCGGGGCTGGCCGCGGTCAAGCTCGACCTCCATGTTTTCGACAGTCTCTTGCGTGTTGTCAAACTGCTTAAACTTGGCGGCGATGGCGGGGTCCCGGATCGCCTCGGCCCACTCGTCAAAGAAGCTGTCGACGAGCTCCTGCATCTGCGCCTCGAGCGAGGCGCAGATGCCCAGCTTGTCTTCGAGGACGACCTCTTGCAGATATTTGATGCCGCCCGGGAGGTTCTCGAGCCACCGCGCCGTCCGCTGCAGTCTGTCGGCGGTGCGGATATAGAACATGAGGTATCTGTCGATGATGGGGATGACCTCGGTGGGCGGGACATCCTTTGCCAGCAGCTCAGAGTGCTTTGGCTTGGCGCCACCATTGCCGGCCACGAAGATGTTGAAGCCCTTATCCGTGGCAATGAGGCCGAAGCTGGGAAACAGATTAGCCATTCGTCAACTCGCGGCTCAAAATTTTCAGTCACGTACTCCTTGTTCTGCGCTTCGGCACACTCGCGGACACACCCGCTGACGCCGCCCTTGATCTTGTGCGGCGCGCGAATGCTCTTATACCGCTCCTCCAACCGCACCGCCATGCCGACGCTGTCGCCGACGCCGTACCGACACCACGTCGTGCCCACGCAGCTCTTGACTGTGCGCAGCGACTTGGCGTATGCGTGCCCGGACTCCATGCCGGCCTCAACCAGCATCCGCCAAATGTCCAAGAGATCCTGCTTCTTAGCCCCAAACATGTCGATCCGCTGACCGCCAGTGATCTTTGTGTACAACTTGTACTTGGAGGCCACGTTACCAATGGCGATGAGCTTGTCGGGGGTGATCTCCCCGGCAGACACGCGCGGGACGACGCTGTACGTCCCGTTGCGCTGGATGTTGCCGAGGAAACGGTCGTTGGTCTCCTGGAGACCGTGCATGGGCTTGTCCATGACGTGACGGTTCCAGAGGGAGGCGAAGATGCTACCCATAGTAGGCTTGCACGCCTCGCAGCCGAGCGAGTTCCGGTCGTTGCCGGCCTCGCGCATGACGTCCTCGAATGTCTGCAGCTTCTTGACGAGGATGATGTTGTACAGGTCGGCGCGCGAGTAGTTGAAGTGGGCGCACAAGTGGTTCTTGACCTCGTTGCCCATGGACAGCATGGTCTTGTTGAAGATTGTCGTCACCAGGGGCATGCAGCCGCCGCAGCCGGTGCCGGCTTTGGTACACGCCTTGACCTCGCCGAGCGTCTTGCATGTCCCTTCCTTGACATTGTTAACCACATCGCCCTTGGTCACGTTGTGGCAGGAGCAGATCTGCGTGTCGTCCGTCAAGTCGTCGCCGTCGTCTTCGCCCTCCTTCTTGGCACCGAGGATGAGCTGACTGGGCGGCATGTCCAGCTCCTTCAAGTTCTTCACCATCGGTACCAGCTTGATGTAGTCTTTCGTGTCGCCAATCATCATCCCACCCAGCAGGTATTTGCCGTCCTCGGTAAAGATGTACTTCTTGTACACATTCTGGAACGGATCACGGTATGTGAGAGCCTTGACGGGGGCTGGCGGCAGACCGTTTGTCAAGGTTTCAATGGTGCTTTGCCCATCACCCTTTTTCGCTTTCCTCGCCACCTTGGGAGGCAGATATTGCGGGCCATCTCGATCGGCGAAAAAATCACCAAAGCTGGCCACGTCGACGCCCAAAAGTTTCAGCTTCGTGCTGAGGTCGGGTCTCTTGAATAACCGGGGTTGGTGCAGCTTGGCTTGTGTGAGGTTGAATGAAAGGACGTCGGCCATCTCGACCCCGGGAGCAATCAAGCCGAATGTTTGGCTCTTCCAGCTCGCACACTCGCCGATGGCATAGATGTCTGGGGCGCTGGTGCTCAAATCGTCCCCAACGACGATGCCGCCGCCACGGTCAGCGCACTTGATGCCGGCTCTCCGCGCCAGCTCGTCTCGCGGCCGGACACCAATGGCGAAGCATATTGTGGAGCAATCCATTCGCTCACCATCCTCGAATACGACTCCCTGGACGTGGTTGTCATTCGTCACCTCAATCTTGCCTACGCGCTTGCTAAGGAGCACATCGAGGCCGAGGTCTCTGACCTGGTCCACAACCATGGAACCCGCATCATTGTCCAGTTGCCGGCTCAATACCCATCGATTCCTCTCAATGAGCTTCACCTTGTCGAAGCAGTCCAGGTCCATCATCGCCTTGGCGGCCTCCAGGCCGAGCAGACCACCGCCGACAACCGCTCCCACGGTGCCTTTTCTCTGGGCAGCAAACGCGATCAGGTTGATGAGGTCGTCAATCGTCCGGTACACAAAGACACCTGTTGCGTCGTGCCCGGGTGTGTGTTTAGGAAGAACAGCATCTGAGCCGGTGGCAATAACTAGAATGTCGTACGCTACAATCTCCCCATTTGAGCAAGTCACCTTCTTGGCTTGGGAGTCGATTTCAGTGACTTTGGTGTTGACATGGTATCCCAAAGAGCCTTGAGGCGTGCTGTGATACTGCTCAAGGAATCAGCAAAAGACAGCGTGGCAGGGTCGAACGGCGTCTGCACATACCCATTCTTCAGGGTTGAGGTAGAGATTCTCGACTTTGCGGTGATCAAAGAAGCTTGTCAGACCAACGCGATTATACGCCAGGTGCGGCTCCTCGCCGAGCACCGTGATGCTGTACTCGTTTGCGCGGGCGTCCAGCTTTAGCATCTTCTCGCTTGAGAGAGTCAGTCAATGGATCACATCAGCTCATGGCAATGCGCCACTCACATGAAGGCGATGCCGACCATGCCCAGGCCGACAACGACGAGTCTCTTTCGTTCCGCCATGTTGAAGACGACGCAAACCACTAACGAAACACGAAGAAGAGGAAGCGTGGCGGAGCGAATCGAGAGTCAGAAGAGAAGACGAGAAAAACAGCAAGACATCCTACGACGACTGAAACTGCAGTCCCTCGGGTTCATTAGGCCATCATAAAGGACGCATCACTCTTCCTCGGCGCGCAATGAAGTCAGTCCAAGCTTGATCCGCTGGGATTAGCATCTCCGGCGAGACGGACGACAAGCCATGGGCTCCCCCAGTAATGACGAGCGCTGATTGGCCGTGGCGCGGAGCCGATGACATCTGATTGAGCATTTCCACGGTTTGAATCTCAAAGTTTAGGGCGCGGGCCACGGCTCCCATAGTCCGGTAGGGACGTGAAGAGAGAGTCAAAGTACCTCGTGGTGGCGCGGGCAAGGTATGCATTGCCATTGAGCAATTGTACGGCGTACAAGTCGATTGACTTGATAACGTGGTGGGAGACCATCGGATGATAAGGACGAAAAGGGCGAATCAGAGGCGCGGCATTATGACCCACAGCGGGCGGCTCTCGTTGCGCCGCGGAGAAAGAGACACCACCCCTCTAGCCTTCCGAATGCTTCCCACTCCTGCTCGATCATTGTCCATTAAAAGCACGGGCGAATAGGGACGCGGGATAATAGGTACGTGGGGAGTCTTTTCCTTCGTTGCCTCCTAGGAGAAAGCTGACCTACCTTAGGTACGCCTACACATCCAGCCCTTTGATTCACGGCAGATAAGGGTAAGCTTATTTGATTTCCGCCAGGTTTGATTGGACATGTCCCGTTGCTACCAATTCAGACCTAGCTCCTCTAAGGTAGATTACCTAGATTCGCAACCATAGGAAGCAGTTCCTTTGAGCTTTGCGTACGCATTATGGGAGCAGGTTGAAGGTCTGTGAATCACGGACGGGCCAAACGGGGATAGAGAGAAGGCCCGGGTCGCGACGCATCACAGTTACTGACGTACATGCATGAGTAATCTGCTCGTGGCAAAAACATCTTTCATCTGATGATTTCTGATATGACCTGCCGCGGCGACAACACTTTCTCAAAACTCCAGAGAGACAAATCCATTAGCAATCGCAACGCGACCTGTGGCAGTGACCGAATCACAGCCCGCCTCACGCCAACCAGCTATTGTTCGACAACACTTGTCCTTCAACACGGCCCCTCATTAACCACTATTCTCACTCGACTCGATCCAGTGACATGTTTTGGAAAATGCCGCTCTTTCGATGCGGTCTTGTGTAATGGTCAATTCGCCCCGTCGCGGCCAGTCCTAGGTAGGGGGAAAGGGGGTATCACCAGTGCCCATTATTATACAATTACTTTTTTTTACACAAGCAACAAACTCATTCTCACATTCGACGTTCACGCCGCCGCCGCCCGCCTCACCCCGAAAAAGTAGTTGCCAACCTTCTCGCTGCCCCGGACCTCCTTCCACCCAAGACCAGGCACGTACACGACCCCCATGACCCTCGGCATCTCCCACCCTTTACCCCCCATGAACATGCCCTTGAGCTCGTTGTCGTTGATGTACTTGCGCCAGTCGTGCGTGCCCTTGGGCACAATCCCCAAAATGTCCTCGGCAATCAGATTCGTCGTGAACCAGCTCGTCCACGTCCGCGCAATGGTGCTGCCCACAAGCCACCCGCCAGGCCGCACAAACGGCGCGCAGCGATCGAGGAACTCGGCCGGCGAGGACACGTGCTCCACGACCTCGAACACGGACACGACGTCGTAGAGGTCCTCCGCCTTTGAGGGTATCGGCAGCGTCTCGATGGTGGCGGCCTTGTACTCCAGCTTGCCCCTGAGCGCCGGGTCGCGGCGCGCGTGGCCCTTTGCGATGGCGAGCACGCCGGGCGTCGGGTCGACGGCCGTCACTTTCGCCGTGTCGGGGAGCCGGGCTGCGCTCTCGGCAAAGATGCCGCCGCCGCAGCCGACGTCGAGGAACCGCGTCGGCGGCGTCGGGCCAGGTCCTTCGGGTTGGCTGGCCAGACAGTCGTGGATAAAGTTGTGACGGAGGGGGTTCATCAGGTGCAGCAGGCGCGAGGAGCCGTGGGGGTCCCACCAGTCGGCGGCGAGGATGTTGAAGTGCTCGACCTCTTCGGGGGAGACGGAGGAGTAGGTCGAGCTCGGCCGGCGCCATTCGAGCGGCGCGGCGGCGGAGGCGGCAGCAGCAGCAGCAGCAACCGCAGGCCGGGAACCCGTTCGGAGGGGGGGTGACGTCGCAGCCGCGCGGGACGCTGATTGGGTTGTTAGGCCTGTCCGCCGCAGCGCGCGCAGCAGGGCGGCTGACGCCGGGCGAGGAGAGACCATGGCGAATTCGTTTGTCGTGGGTACTGGTCTTGGTGGGGGGGTTTCGAGTGTGCTGGGAGGATTTGATGGAAATCCTGAGCTCGAAAAGAATGATGACAAAGCAGATGTGACGTGCTGGGGGCCCCGGGTTGGAGAAGTTGGAGAACCTCTCCGCGGCCTCGGCGCTGTCACCGAATCAGAGTGCACTCGAATCCGCAGCTCCCCTGGTCTATTCTGCACCTCTTCAGCTGCAGGTGCAGGATTCAGTCAAGGGCGTCATCCATGTATATTCGAGCAACGTACGGATACAGAAACAAACAATGATCATTTCTGGACCACTTCTGGATTACGGCATGCGCAGGACTCGAAGAACCGACTGTGCTTCGACGGCCTTCGGAACAGCCGCCAGACCAATCCGCACCATGGAGACGGGGCCACTGGCTGGAACGGGGGCCGCGCGCGGGTGCTTATTCGGAAGCTTTGTCAGCGTCCATGTGTAATGCTGGCCGGAGTGATAGTCCCTTATGTAATCCCTCGCATGGCATTGCAGACTCTCCGAGGTGCCAGCAATGGTGGCTCCGCACTAGAACTCTGAAAGCCCGACCGCCGCCCGAGATGTCAAGCCGATTCCTCGGCGCATTCGGCGCCAGTCCTCCTCATCCCACCATCCTGGTCCAGGGTCCGAAGTGCACATGTGCAGACTAAAGTCGGTTGGCGAATCCCATGAGTCAACCAACAAAGCCGAGCGATACTCGGGACCTTTTTTTCTCTTCTTTTGTGCTTGCGCTGGTCTACTCTGCTGCTCGACATGTCACATTAATTAAGTCAGGATCCTCCTCATCACGGGCTGGATTCTCCTATTGAACACGTTGTATTTAGTTGGTTGGATATAAACCGAGCATCTTCAGTACTGACATTGACTCAATGGGCCAACACCTTTGACTTGTATATCATCACGCTCTATCCGTACTCCCCGAGACAGAATACCTCAGGAACGACCCAGACCAAACAAACCGGAACCGGCCCATTATTCAAAAGCTCCCGTCCATTAGCTACCGTTACCCCCTCCACTTCCTTCCGCATGACGGAATCCCGGGTGCGCTCCAGTTGAAGAAAAGAAAGACGATAAAGAGACCCGTAGAACCCGCCCACTCCCCCCTGGACCTGCTGGGCTACCGAACTTTGCCCACAGACCCCAAACTAGCACCCAATTTCTTCTTCCTCTGTCTGCGCGCGCGCGGGGATCGGCCGTTCAATTGCAACATCAATCAACCCCTCCCCCTCACCCCTCTGTCCCGTGCCTTCACCACCACCACCACCACCACCACCACCACCACCACCACCGCACACCGTCACGAGCGAATCCTCAACTTCAGTCTCGACCGCCAGCTCAACCCGCAAACCTCACCTCTTCTCCTTTCCAAACCTCCTTCTCAACGACATAATCCGCACTTCCCCATACACCAGCCGCAACAATGCCTTCCTCAACAATAGACGAATCAAAGTTCGACTCTATCCCGGACGCCATTGAGGCATTCCGTAAGTAAAAAAAAAATTATCGCCGGAACTTCCGCGAAACCTCCTCCCGCGCCCCGGCTCATGCTTCACGACAAACCAGCTGACCTCCCGACGCTCAAAAACAATAGGCAACGGAGAATTCCTCGTCGTCCTAGACGACCCATCCCGCGAAAACGAAGCAGACCTCATCATCGCCGCCGAATCCCTCACCGCAGCCCAAATGGGCTTCATGATCCGCCACTCCTCGGGCTACGTCTGCGCGCCCCTCGCCCCGTCCCTCCTCGCCACCCTCAACCTGCCCCCCATGGTCGCCACAAACGAGGACCCCCGCGGCACCGCCTACGCCGTCTCCGTCGACGCCGCCGACCCGCTCGTGACGACCGGCATCTCCGCCCACGACCGCGCCCTCACCTGCCGCGTCCTCGCCGACCCGGCCTCGGGCCCCCACGACCTCCGGAGACCGGGCCACGTCCTGCCCCTGCGCGCGCGCGAGGGCGGCGTGCGCGAGAGGCGGGGCCACACCGAGGCCGCCGTCGACTTTTGTCGGCTGGCGGGGAAGAAGGAGGCTGCGGCCATTTGCGAGATTGTCGACGACGGTACGCCCGTCGAGGGCCAGGCCGTGCATGAAGACCCCGGGATGTTGAGGGGCGAGCAGTGCATCGAGTTTGCGAGGCGGTTCGGGCTCAAGGTGTGCACTATTGAGGCCCTGGTCAACTATCTTGAAAAGACAAAGGGCAAGCTGGCCGTCAACGGGTCGTCGTAAAGCTCTGGCTTGGTTCGTTGTTGTTGTTTTTCCTTTCCGTTGTCGGTCTCGGTGCAACCGGCGTCGTGAAGAAGTAGTCCATCACTCCATTACCCTCCATCCCGTCGTACGCTTCGAACACCCTCATGCCCGGGAGGTTCTATCGGCGAGGCGGGGGGTTTTCGAGTGGAAGACAAGAAATAGGGGCGGCGGGAAAGCGAAATTATCCCGGCTTCGAGAGAAAGCCACTTTGAGGTTGCAAAAAAACATTCTTATCCATTGGGCTGATGCGGCTATAGAGGAGGTTACTCGAGGTTACTAGTTCAGGGGGGGGGGGGGGGGTGGAGCGGGGAGGGAGGGAGGAGGGGGGGGGGGGGTGGGGACGGAAAGGTAAGAGTGGGGTTGGTTTGTGAAGGAGTATAGCGCGGGGGGGGGGGGGGGCGGGGGGGGGGGGGGGGAGGGGGTTGCAAGAGAGAGAGAGAGAGAGAGAGAGAGAGGGGCAGGCAAACGACATGCAATGTCACGGTATGTATATACAATGATATATCCTTGGATAGGGCTGCGGGCTATCGTCAAGACAAAACAAAGGCTGGGGGTTTCAAAAAAAAAAAAACTCTACTCATTTCTTCGTCACATATCTACACAAATCCGAGCCGTATTGCTCATCATCGTGACAGACATGCGTCGATTGTACAAGGCAAGTCGGAATAGGCTCGACTAAGCCGGGGGTGGCCGGAGCCCATACATCATCTCCAGCTGGGCTGCCACGAAGTGACGAGAATACACTCACGACGCCGTACGATACTATTCACTGGCATTGCCAAATTCACTAAATAGCAGATTCATCCTTTCGGTATAGAAATTCCGCTTCTTCCCATTTTCCCCCTTTTGCTTCTCTCTTTGCCCTGCTGAGAATGACATCTAGCAAGAATACAAAAAAATAAAAGAAAACTACCTTGGCTCGCGCATACCAACCAGACTGAACGTGTGACCTGCCACAACCAACCCAAATACAACACAGTATATTGACCACAGACATGGCAACCTGGAAAAGAACGAGGCAGTCTGGGGTACCTACTCATCAGGAAGACAGTGTGCGAGAACTGACCTTCCTCCTGTGCACAACGCGCCCAACCGAGGAATTCGAGCCTACCTTACTTACCATTTAGTCCCCTTACCAACCGTCTGCACCTTGCTTTGCATCGCCCCCTGCCTGCTCTTACACGGTAACTTGGGTACTTGTCATCGTACACTAGCACGACTGGGTAGCCATGCAGTCCAAAGAAAAGAAAAGAGAAAATGCACCAAAACAACGAGAACCACTACCCCAGTGCTAACATAGGCTCCTCTATACGATGAGGTGGAAGGGGGGACGACAGGCAATTTATCTACAGCCTTGAGGACATACATTGTATAATGATGCCAGCCAGAATGAGACGCTACCGCTTGTGCGTTGATCAACACTCACTCACCCTGGGCCTCCCACCCACCAACCAAGCCACTGGGACACGGAAAGGTTGCGCAAGCCAGCTTCGATCGCTCGCTGACGAGAACCAACACGCGTTTGCAAAAAGCCAGCACCTCGCTCCGCCCCCCCTAGCCCCCCTTGGCACATCCGAAGACACTGATTGTCACTTTGGCACAGGATGCCGATGATGAAGCGGATGCTCAAGGCCTTCAAACCATGTACTCATACCTCATCAACACTACACAACACTGCCCAATACTACCTAGAAAAAAGAATCACGCGAATTATTGCTACCTGATACCCAATACCCCAGATGTCGATCCCATTACAATGCCTGCATACGCTATGCCGTGTATCCCCATGCCTGTGTCGGATGCAAGAATATCAATGCGATTCCATCCCCCTCACCCCCGCACAGGATGCACCTCGTCTGATAACGCCAGCAATGCATGTATGTATCCATCATCTTCATCTTCTAGCCCGCTTTCCCGGGCAGTGGAATCAAAAAAGCCCACCCATCTACCAGAGCTAGCCCTGGACCTCTTCGTCCTTGATCCACTCACCCAAATCCCCCTCAATATCATACGTGGCGTTGGCAACCTGTCCCCCAGGCTTCCGGTCCCAGGCCCACATGTCGGCGTACTCGGGCTCCAGTTTGCCGTGCATCATCTTGACGACGTACTCGCCAATGACGGGGAAGAATTTCCAGGCGTGAAAAGAGCCGCCAGTCGCAATGTAAAGGTTCTTGCAGCGGGAATGAGGAGAAATAAGAAAGTCGTGCCCAGGTGTGGTCGCGTCCCTTGTGGCGGTGTAAGCATATCTCGGGCCGAGTGTGGTGATACAACCAAGGGACTTACCAGCAGACACGGTACTTTTCAATCACTTTGCCCTGCATCTCGTCTCCGTAGAGACCTCTGAGAGTTTTCCGAGCTTGCTCCCTGAGACGTTTGGGAACTCCTTCCTCGGAGGTCCATTCAGTGAGATTCGGAGACGATGGTGCCAGCGACATGGACTTGCCCGTTATGGCATGGAACTGGTGATATGTGAAAGCCATGTCACAGTTGAACTTCAGTGTTCCATCTGGGGTCATGGACATTGACTCGCCTGCTCTCTTGTCAGCACCTGTGTTGAAAAGGAACCAGTTGGAGTGTCTCACCTTTGACCGAGGGCAGACGGTTCTTGAGCACGGGAATACCTTCGAATGTGTCCTTATGCGCCCCCTGGACGCTCGTAGTGAAGCTGATAGCGCCGGTAGCAACGACTCTATTTCCAGCGTGAAGTTCCTTCTGCTCAGGGGCGCTTTCCGCGAGAAGGGACGGGGTACGAGCACCAGTACAGAGCAGTACGACGCCCTTGACCTCATGTCCGTTGTCCAGCCCGACTCCGGTGCAGTCTCCAGTGCTGTTGAAGAGCAAGGTCGTGACCTCGGCGGTGATGAGCTTGGCTCCTTCGTCAATAGCCTTCTGACGAGCAGCTTCGAGGGCATTCGCCGCCTCAAACCAGCCGCATTGAGGGTTATACCTCACTCGGTCGAGTCCTTCAAAGTCGGCCGTGGCAAAGGCAGGCCATTCAGCTCGCACCTCGTCAGGGGTCATCCATCTGGCACCAGACTGGTGGCCAAGTGTGTCAAGGACATCTTGCGCCTTCTCGTTGTGATTCTTATCCTTGTGGTTGACGGGTTCAGCACGGATCATGCCGACTTGGTGGAAGAAGGGGTTCCAGAAGGAATCAGTCTGCCAATACCTCAAGGCCTCAATGGCCAGCTTCGCATAAGGCAGGTTTGGGTAGTCATTTCTCCCAATCTTGGAGATATCGTGGGACGCCGCCTTGGGGTTGGCGAGCGCCGTGGGGTCAATGAGAACGATGTTGCATTCGGGCTTGTATTTACGCAGCCAGAGAATCGTCGAGAGACCAAAGATGCCTCCGCCGACGACAATGAAGGTCTCGGACTTGACGTCGGTGCCCTGAGGGACGGTGAAGGACGCTGATTTGGCCATGATGTTTTCTGCAATGTATTTGCTTCTGCAAGCTGGTGTGACTTATATGAGTAAAATTCCCACATCACTCCGGGAACCACTCGGGTCTTTATATAGACAAATGTCAGCATCTCGAAGACCGAAAGAAGAGCGAAGAGCACGTTTTATCCGTATCATCCGTTAAGGGAGAGAACGTCGATACACACTCCTCGATGGCTTTCTCCGTCCGTCCGTCCGTGCCTTCATCGTCCACATGTGCGGATATCCGTTCTCCTGTAGGATCCGCCCAGCACGCACAAAGATTAGATGCCGACGTCCAACCGACACCGACTCACATCCACTCGGGCAAGGACCGACGTTGACACTTCGATCTCAAGGAGCTCGTCATCAGTCTCCCTGGGAATCGAGCCGGACATCAAGTGACCTGGAACGGCCTGACTCTGAATCCCTGGAGAGGATCGAGGAGAAGGAGGTGACCGCGCTGCGGGAAACCCCCTCAATGTACATGGTCATGGGAGCGACAGGACGGGGTAAGACGACTTGCATTCGATGGAGCCATGCGTGTGTGTTGTTGGAACCATGGACATACCCAAGACGGCCACAACATCACTTGAATGAGTAGACGGTGGCGAAACAGAAGGAGAGAGAGCGAGAGTTGAGAGAAAGGGCAAAGGCGCAGTACGTCGCAACAAAAGCGGCGTATTCTCTACGGGAGTGGCAGTAGGCGGCGCCGAGCGAGGTTAGACCAAACAAGGCGGCTCCCGGGACGGCGATCTGCGATCTGACAACATTCTGTAGGTGCACGAAGACAACGTTGGGATGGAGGGTCGTTGCTTTGGGCTTGGTGTTGTGGCTTTGTACGATGAGATTGTGTTGGAAGGGACTTTGGACTTTGGAGGGGGGTGCAGTAAGCGAGTAACGATGGGGACCGGGGGGGGTTGCCGTCGCGGATGTGGGTCCTTTGCGCTTACGGTCTGTCAACGTTTGTGGTCGCTGGAAACGAGCAAGGAAGCCACGATCTCCAAAGAGTGAGGTTAGGTAAGGCAGCCACGGAAGGGGGTGGGGAGGGACCCGGGGACCGGGGTACGTACTAGTTTGATATCCAGAAAGGGCAGGGGTCTTGCCAATCGTGCCATGATCCATGGCATGAGGTGCCTTGTTCGAACTGCAGACCATAAACGTCTCTCATTGGTACGGCCTTTGTTCCATCCCAAGTGACCAATCAGAGCTCAATATCTTCAACTACCCTTGGCTTCTGTCATGAACACCCCCAGCCTAGCGTTCTTTTCTCAGCAAAGGGGAGGTAGGATCAAACGATATCTCGACAAAAAAAGGTCAATATCAGGTATCCATCTACCTTACTCTGCAAAGAGAAAATGCCAAGATGCCAGAAAACGCTTAGGGCGAGAAACAACCCTTGAAGATTCTCCATATCACTAACGCAGTTCACGACGAATCCAGTATCGTGCAATTTGTATTCGTACGGATAGCCCAACAACTCCATCAAAAGCCCACGAGCATCATTCCTCCTCGCAAGTCTACCTCGGATTGAGGTGGTAGTCCCATCCAGTCTTGCTTCATGGCCGACAGGAGCACCATTATTATTCGACGTAGTCTCGGAGTTAGCAGCACCAACGGGTGTCCAGATAGCAAACTTGCGAGTTGCACACACAATTCAAGACTCTTCCGGACATTGTTCCTCTTGCGGACGGACTGGCCGTTTTCTCGTTGCTTTTACCGTTGTTTTTCGGGTGGTATTGGGTCCAATTACCTACCTTAACAAGTAGGAAGTTGTCTGACTGTACTTCCCAACATACGCCATGTTCCAACTTCTGTTGAAGCGGTCTTCTTACCATAGCATTTGATCTAATCGATAGCCAGCCTATGGGCCAATCCCTTGCTGTCTCTCTCTCTGTCTTCTCTCTCTCTCTAACGCTATGTCCTGCGGCTTCTCTCTTCTTCTCCAGCGAGCGGCAAGAGAGAGACATTTCTGGCGCGATTGGCTAGGGGCACCCCGACTCGATCGACCGCATCCCTACCGGAATTCGCTTCAGTCAGCATGGCCAATTCGAGATTTGGGTCGGTGCTATTAGAAATACTATGTTCCATCAAATCCATGGCCAAGCCTGGGCACTATGGCTTCGTGCGCCACCCATCATCTCTCTGCCCCTCCCCGCGCTAGTGTGTTTAAAAAAAAAAAAAAGGTCTCTTCCCAACCAACTAAACTCCTTCTTGTCTCTACTTGTGCTTCCCCTCGTCTCTGCGCCTGCCTATCTCTCCCTCTCCCTCTCTCTCTCTTCCTCTCTGCGGCGTCTGTATTTGCCATTCCTCCTCGTATAGGGTTTTCTCCCATTGATGATCTGACATTGCTATTCTCGCCCATTTGAGCCAAAGGTGCATGTCAAAAGGCGAGGCAATTGCCTCGTGAAACCATCATAGACGCTTACCGCTGTCCCGTGGCCAATCGCTTATACATAAGAGTGCAGACAATTGCATGCGAGAGAGGGCAGCCATGTAAGGGTTCAGGTGTTGATGTCCCTTCGCCCATCTCATTAGGGAGACGATCTGCCCACGAGGTGTTGTTGCACCCAGCTTCGCCAGTGTCCCTCCCCGTACGACACGACATCTGATGACAGCCCAGGCATGCTTTCGAGCCCTTGCACAGCCACAGCCCTCTCGTGCCCTTCTTCCTCCTCACCCCCCAAGCCCTGCAGGTCCAGAACTTACAACGGGGGAAGGGGGGAGGGGGGAGGGGGACAAGCTGACGGCCACGGCACATCTCCCGCTTGTTCTTAGTGAGCCCTACTCTCTTTCCAGGTTTTTGAGCCGTCTTGCCGGTCCACGTCCTGGCATCTCATGCCGGCAATACGCCCTCTCCTCTTTGTATGCGCATGCCAATCCCCATCTCGAGCGTCGTAGAATTCCGTAGCAAGCGTAAGCTGTGTACCTAGTAACCCAAGTGATTCCACAGCTCGGAAACAACACGACATCCTGTCGACTCTGCTTCAATGAGTCAGTATCGACCAATTTCATCGGCAGGCATGCCACCCACCTACAAGAGACTGTCGACTACCATCTTCGATGGCGCCCGCATGAGATTGCCCATGTTTCACTGGCACACCGCAGAGGCCGAAGAATACCAATCGGCATCACCTGCAGATGTTGCCGACTGGAACGTCTCCTCCGTCCGCTGTTTGTTAGAATCTTCCGAGTTTTCTTCGAGAGACGGCGCAGCGCAAGGATAGAGAGAGTCGTCCACTTGGCGTGGTTATTTCGCCAACAGAAATATATTTGGTAACCAGCATCGTGATCCGTGATACTTCATGCACGCATTCCCGTGCTAATTTTCCATAGGCTAAACCCTAAGGTGCCCTCATACAGCAGCCAACCACTCGATAGTCAAGAACCAGACTGCTCCAACCATCCGATTCCTCCATGCAAGGCGCATCATGTGCGCAACCCAATCCACAATGACTGTTGCTGACCCCTGCTAACCTGAGAGTAATGATACATTGTGCTAGCCCAACGCCATAAAATGCCTGCCCCTTATACCAAGCAAGAGAGAAAAAAGCCGCTGTTGCCCCCAATCATCATGTCGTGCTGTAAGAAGAATTCACCCTGCCTGCCCCTGATGTCTTCCCGGTTGCCAACTCGGAGAGCAACCCGGCTGCAGGCGAATACAAGGGTCTGGACGCAATACTACCTTCGGGGCCCAGGAAGCGGCAAGGGCTGGTCGTGCTTCACGTTTTGCTGATGTCGAACTAGTTGGTCCTTCCTGGCGAACCCGTCCTTATTCGGACATCCTGGTAACTGGCATTTGTGAGGTTTGGAATGCTTCTGCAAGTGTTGCCTGCTCATCTTAGCGTCGGATGCAGGAATGGAACTAGCAAGTCTTACCTGTACATGCAGTTGCGGTGAAAGATTTTGGGCCCTCCGTTAATATTTTGGCCCCCTTTTTGACACGTCCTCCAGTACGGGCATCTGTACTCGCCCTTGCCTCTGTGTCGAAGAGAGTCCATGTCTACGCGGTTCGAATTCCTGTCGTCCGAGTCGTCCGCATCTGCTACCTCGTCGTCGTCGTCCTCCTCCTCGTCAAGTGGAGATGGCGGGCTTGTTGATCGTCTGTCGCCATCAGACGGGTGGTAGGTGCGTGAGCTGTCAGAAAAAGATGCCTGAGATCCCACCGCAGAAAACCCCGTTGTTGAACGCGATCCTAAATGGGAAAATGACGACCTAGAGCTGGAATCCGAAGCCAAAGGGTATTGTCTATATTCTGGAGGACATCTGTTTTGTTGTGGAGACGCGCGATCTCTGATAGTCTTCAGATTGGCTGCACCGTTGTTGATCTCATTCTTCATGTTGCTAGAATGCCGTCAGCATTGCGCACCTTCCGCGGTGAAAGAATATCTATCTTTACGCACTTGAGCATTTTGTGTTGAGTTTTCGCAAATTCGAGGATGCCCATGTCGTTGAACCCATTGGCGCGGTATGCCTGGTCTACAAGATTGTGCCCTGTCGATTCCAAGCGATCCTTTGTCAGGTAGTCGTCGGTAAACCTCTTGAAGGCATCGAATACGTGCATCGTAACGTCCGCCATGTACGCCAATTCGCCCTCCTTTTGACTGTGCCTCGGAAATGTCTTTCTGAATTCATCAAATATGCTTGTGAACATCATGAGGGCCTCCGTCTCACGGTTGACGGATTTCTCAGGGTTGAGCAACGAGTTGATGTCCAGAGGCATGTTGAAAGAGGTGGTGCGGCCGAAGTCATGAACCCAATAAGACAGATACGATACGTGAAAGTCGTGAAGTGTATCGTGCCAAGTTGGAATAGTAAGTCGAAACGGTTGGCTTGTCGTTTCGAGCGAGGGCAACCGTTGGATATCGAAGCTCCGACGTTGAAGCGAGGACCGTGGTGACAGCAGCTCAGTGAACCATTTCAAGGTAGACCAAGTGGGTCTTTGTGGGAGAAAGCAAGCTTGGTGATGCTGGCCAGACCAAGGAGGGATTCACGAGTCGAGACGTTGAGGAAAGGCAAGCGTTGGCGTTGGCGTTGGCGCTGGCGTTGACTGAGCTAGAGAAGTGCTAGAGGCAACGTCCCGGTCATAACTCAGGAAAAGTTTGTAGGATTTGGGCAGGGGAAAACAGAACTTGGGAGATGGGGACGGGTGGAGAGGGGGTTGAGTTGAACCAAGTGACGGGGGTAGGGGAAAGAGAAAAGAGATAAGACCAAATTCTAGCAGAAACACACGAGGGACGGCGGATAAGGCCAGAGGAGGAGCTAAGGTAAGGGAGCGAGTGATTGAAGGCAAGGAGAGAGAGAATCCGATGGATGGAGAATGACAATCGACGGGGTGCGGCCGGGGGGGGAGCGGCAGACGGCCAAAAAGCGGATCTCAGGCTGGCACGAGGGGGGCAACGACTCGGCGAACACGCATGCAATGGCGCGTTGGCGACGGCGATGGTATTGGCGAGAGGTGCATGGGAGGAGATGAAGATGAGAGAGTGGTGAATCCTCCAAGTAGCTGCAGATGCGGTCTCAGTCGTAGTGGCAGTCCCTTGCCTCGTTACGCCCGTAGGAACCGGTCAAGCAACGAGCCCAAGGCCCAGGACTCAGGAGAGGTGAGAGGGGAGAGGGGAGATGGAGAGGGGGGGGGAGATGGAGAGGGGGGGGGGGGGGGAGGCGGGGGGGGGGGGCGTGGGTGCTACGTCGCCTGAGAGGGCCCAGAGCGACGCGCGGAGGGGGAGGGTGGCGCGTGGGGGCACGAGTAGGGGCGGGGCGGGAGGGGCGGGGGGGGTGGGGGGGGGGTGGAGGGGGGGGGTGGGGGGTGTGTGGTATGGGTGGGGTGGGGGGGTATAGGTTAGGAAGCCGGAGGGAGGCGTTGGATATGGCTTTGTCGGTGTGGGGGGCAAGAC